TTGGTGATACAACATCATGGTGTAAAACCGCGTGATCTGTAATAAGTCCTCCCAAACCCCGTAATTTCAAGTTACAAATTATGCTAACAAATCTTCCACTTGTATCAATTTTTACAATTTTGGGGGATTGGCTTAGCGATCACCAAGCTTGACATTTATTTGATTTATGAAACAAGTCATGAACAATTTGTGTACAGTGATTCTCATATTTGTATTCTAATAAATAAGCATTACATACCTCGACTAAGAACAGGAAAATAATTCTCCATCTTGGAGAACAAATACTTGAAACACACTTTCTCAACCAATATTTCATTCATTTACAAATGAATGATCTTTTTCACAATTTATAAGATTTAACATCTTAATATTTGTAGAGTAAGCACACTTATGCTAGTTTTTAATAACTTAATAAAGTTAGTTTAAAATGCTTTCTTTAGCAATGAAATGATTGTTCTCGTCCATATAATTTTTTCCAAGCATTGTTAGCTTAACTGTATTGTCTATTATCTTATGGCATTCATTTTGAACTGGTATTAAGCTAACAAGGATTGGAACATCTGGCTGCATCAATTTTCCCTCAATACTGGCATGTTGTGTAGTTTTGCATATTTATTTGCACAACAAATAATTAAAATTATGATGACATTGTCACATGAGATTCATGGGCAACATGGCTAGCACTAATTTTATAAGACAGAACACTTTCTTAACGATATACAGACAATTTACCTAGATACACTCTCAATAGAAAGCAGCACTTCACAATAAAGCGAGTAAAGCTCAAGAACTGAAGCAATGAGTTGATATCTATAACATGAGAATTTCAATAGTTCAATTGTTTAATGAACCTTCAGCTTCATTTCAACATATTTGACTGGCTAGTAATAATGCTACAACTCTGCTTCCATAACGTCCTTCTAATCAAAAATGGATTGCAAGTCATTTTATCAATGTGTGATAAGAAATAAACAGCAATGAAGTTGCAGTGAGGATGTCAAAAATATGGTACATATTACACTTACTGTTATAGTAGGTACCAAGTTTGTGTACAGGGTTTAATACAAAATTGTTAGGCAATCAAGAAATAACTGCCCCGACACAAACTGGACGGACATATAGACTCCATGCAATTATATCTACCCCCCACTGTACCCAGGTTTTCAGTAAGGGGACCGACACTGTCAACCTATTTCAAAGAATGATACAAGTGGCGGTGCATTAGGACCAAGACAGCTACTGTAGAGGAGTTATTTCTGACTTTTCTACGAGCATCAACAGAGCAATGCCACTTCTGACACGTACCAACAGTAGCTAGAGTAAGGTCATTTACTTACAACATTTGTATAATTTAATAAATACTTTGTCAATACTCCTACATCAATACAGCCAGATTCCAGGTCGTTCAATACAAGGTGCTGTATTTCACAATATGATAATACAAGACGATGTATTTCCTCAGTTACGCAACACCTTTTTGGCCAAAATTCAACAGTTGTTATCCACTTATCAAAGCGACAAATTGAAGCATGAATGGGTTTTGAAAATTTCATTATAAATTGCAATGATAACCTGCATTTTTCTGTCCTTCTTGTTACTTTGTTTGCGTATGTTGTTGGGTTCAAGATTTTGGAAAGCAAATTGAACGTTAATATGGCAAAATCCTCTTGTGTATTTAATGTCTGTTAAAAGTTGAATATAGCTGAAAAGCTATGTAATACTCTAGAAGATGTTTTCCATCATCCGCGAGTAACTCTCTCTGCACCCCTAGAATATGTCATGACACAAACGAAGGCTCAGTACGGCCCACCTTGTAGATGATGCCAGTAGACTTTGGCCCCTTTCGAGTATCAGGTTTAACCAGTTTGTCTGTTTTTAAATGTAACGTTTTTGGTTGTTCCTTACGCTTTGTCAAGGCTCGCCTGAAACCAGCATCAGATTACTAGGTCCGACCTTTTTTCATAAACAAACAACTAAGGTCCAACCGGTTCAAATGTTTGGATCATGATAAACAAATGCGCCTTAACTGATCCTTTGATGTGCATCTACAGAATTGAACAGTAGCTTAAAGTAAAATTGACTGGCACTGAAGTCAGGTGTTGCTCCTCTGTAATCTTCAAGGGACAAGTATCAGCCTATCGATTGGTCATTTTTACTTACCTAAAGTCAGTCAAATAGCTCATTGAATGCCTTCGATTTGATTATGACATATTCCAGGAATGTGAAGAAAGTAATAGTGCTTTAATAGCGACTGGAACTTTGATACTACCATTAATTGAAAAATAAGTTACATATCCAAGAGATAATGTGTTGATGAACTAACCTAAAATAATGGCACAGAATTGTTATTACAACCAAAGACATGTTAATATACATCATTGCAGTTCTTTAATAATTAACAGCACTTATCAGTTCATACATGCAACATTAGAAACAGTAGCACTTGTTACCTATACATTTGTTTGAACACAAAAAATAATTGCACCCATTTAATTTGAGTCTTCTATGTACAATGCGAGACAATACTGAATTTCTGGCAAAGTTGCAACTCCACAAGTTTTATCAAAATTGTAACAGTTGGTTGGAAATAATGATGAGTTTATCATACATTACAAATTCTCAACCATACAGTAAACACGTCTCTGTTAGTTTGCTGACATAGGCAACACAAAAACTTATTATTAACGTAACATTTAGATATTAAGGATCCCTGCCCCACTGCACAGTATTATTTTGTATATACATTAACACCCCCACCCCCCTTAATTTTGTTTTGGATTGAACTGTAGCACAGTTGGACAAGGACACTACCGCTGACCAGGTAGCTTAGTCAATTAGAGTGACAGTAGAACAATCCAATATCAATGGTTCCAGTGCCTGTCTAGCCCCACTAATTGTTTTACACTCGGAGCACTGTTGCTGATTATATTTTGTTTATTTCAACTGCATACATTTTTCAGAAAGTCCAGCAAAGAAACCATTTATCGAAGCTATATTCCTCCCGGCAGAAGCTGTTTCCAATGGTTAGTAACAGCATTTGGCAGTGGTATGAAGTTAAACACTCAATGGTATAGGTAAATTGAACAGTAAACGAAATGGATTAGAAAAAATAAATTCCCTGTTTAATACGGCAGTTAATAAATAAGATTGATGATTTTAACATTGACTAGATGTTGTCTTTTTTAGAGCACTCTTTCCTTCAATTTTTTTTCATAGATTGGCATGAAGTGCGAGACAAATAACAGAACTTTAGTGTTTGTACATAGAGGAGAGGATGACTGTGTTACCTCAATTGTAAATATCCCTTACTCTCATCTTCTGCATAAGCTGCATTATGTTCGACTAACACACAATCTGAATGACAGTGACAGGAGTACTTACATAATTCATTCACCCCTGAAGTTTCGTTATGAACTATTCCAACCTTTGAATTGGAAGAGTTCAAATGTGTCTTCAGGGGTGAATGACTTAAGTCACTGACTGACACATGAGTCTTAACAGCTAGGCCATTGTACACAAAATATCACAAAAGTCAACACCAAAATACTACAATGGACAAAACATAGTGTAAATGTGGGAGATTCTGTTTTCTATCACTGAACAAGCTCTAGGTAAATTGTCCAGGTTATCCAGCAGTGTAATTTATAAACATCACATCTAAACTAGTCTCCACAAACATTATAGCCAACAACACGTTTAGCTCCACATACTTGTTGGGTTATTTTCTACAGCACTCTAGCTAACCTTATAATATAACACCTTCATTATGGCCTCAGGAAATCTTATTACATGTAGCTATCAACATAAATCGTTAGGTCAATCATATACATCATTACAAAATGACATATATTCAAGATCACACAAAGCATTTACATATCCTTGCACATATGTATTTTTTTGTTTTTACAAAATGACAGAAATCTGAAGACCTTACATAAATCACACACAAACTACGCTTTCTCTTACACATATCACTTGCATTATTCCATACTTACACCTGTATATCATTTCACAAATTACATATACCCGACACAAATCATGCATGTTTGTCCAAAATACATCTTGCACCAATAATATGTTATACTCTTACAAAAAACACTCTTCATTACCTCACACATATCCTTACATGTCCTTACACAAACTACCTTATACATTAACCACATAACAATAAACAACAAGATGAAATACTGTTGGGGACATTTTGAACCCCATGGACATATCGAAGTCACTGCAGGCAAACTGTGTTATCAATAATAGAGTTTAAATAGGAATAAGAAAGTTTTAAGTTCATTTGATAATTCCTTTCTAGGAGATAGTTTAAAGAATCCTGATTTTGATCAATGAATGGTCGTTGAGCTTGTAAAGGGCTATTCCAGATAGGAAAGGAAGGGAGGGAGGGAGGGAGGGGAAAGCAGTACAAATGATGGATTCTACATCAGTTTGCTCCATTACCAAAAAATACAAATTAATAGGAAATTGAATAGACAGGCTTTAAATATTATGAAACAAAATTAATACCGTAATTTCTTGTGTATTGCACGCTTCATTATATTGGCTGCAGACCTCAAAATATCATTTTAACAAACCCTGTGTGCCCGCCCAGTATATTGCCTGTGTATTATCTGCTACATTAACCATTCCAGGCAATAATTTCCAGGTAGATATATCATGGGATTTCTCTTCACTGTAATCACACTGCCAACACCAGGTACCTGTACCTCTCACCTGTTCTCAATCAGATAGGTAACAATGGTGATACAAGAGGCTTTTGATCAAGTAAACGTTTTTATTTTTATACATTGATGATATAATGTAATACCATGAATGATTGAATAACACTTCGTTTCTCTGCTACAATTGACAGGGTTTGAATTTCAGATGGAGCTCCATTGTAGTCTTAAAAAGACAGGTATCAGCCTAGCAATTAGTCAGTATTTTACACCCGAAACCCATAAAATATCATAACCCTGATCCTTCAACTTGGTCATGACATATTCCAAGGGTATAGAGAAGATAGGTGTGTAAGGAGTGGAGCCCATGGATTGTGTAGAGGTAGTGAGATGTGTTTGCCCACCACTTGGTCTGAATCTCTCCAATATATTCTTGGGGAGTGGTTACCCCTTACTCATTCTGAATATAAACTGTACATTAGTGGGATCTGTTTGCTTCTGTATGGATTTATCTTTGAGAAATCCTGATTAGTCCTGAAGAAAATCTAGGCCAATCACCGAGTATATCTGATTCGTTAATTCATAAGAAGTGTTCGCAACAATTCAAATATACATGTAAACTATTCCTTGTTGTACATAGAGCAGTCCTTTGAATCGCTACACACAAAAAACAAAGAATTCCTGTCCCCTACATACACTCTTAACATATCACTGGTTCAGTTAAACAGGCCATCATACCAAAAACAATGTCATATAGCACTTATCCAGCTCAGAATGGAGCAACCATGCACGCTTACAAACAGTGAATCCTTCCACATTCATTACTTCCTGTGTACATACTAGAGGGGATGAGGGGAACTTCGTCCTTTGTAGTTAGTTATGTAAACTGATCTCATCTTGTCTACTATACCAGGAGAAATATAGGAACAGCCGTACGCACACAAATCATTAAATCACATTTGTACCTACACAAATCAACACATAGACACACAGTAAGCAGTAACCATGGTATACCATTATATGGGCATATATAAATTAACCAATCACAGTTAATGTAACAGTAACTGACCAGTCACAGGCCAGAAACAAATTATCCAAAAGGTGACAGAGCCACATGTCATCCAATGATTGATTCCATGTCAAACAACCAATCACAATTTGCAGCCAATGGGTGGCAAGACATGCGAGTCCTCCAATGGATGAGTAGTAATGTTATTGCCATTGTAACGTGCTAGCCTCATTCCCATTCTGTTGTACCAGGAGGTTTCGATGTCATATCATACATCACACGGGAGATTCCGGGGACTGTTAGAATATTCTCCACAATTTTGTCGATCACCTGAAAGAAAATAATCGCACCACTAAAATAAAGCTTGATTCCTGTAATGTATTGATATAAATTTGAATCGCTACACACAAAAACCCTGGTATTTAAACTCCTACAGTATATGTTAATATATCAACCCTAAATATTACCTCCCCTGATATGTGTTTACGTATATACCCTATTTAGGCTATACATTACCTCCTCTGGTATGTGTTTACGTATATATACCCTAGTATGTCTATACATTACCTCCCGTGGTATATGTTTATGTATATACCCTAGTATGCCTATATATTACCTCCCCCGATATGTGTTTACGTATATATACCCTAGTATGCCTATATAGTACCTCCTCTGGTATATGTTTACGTATATATACCCTAGTATGCCTTTACATTACCTCCTCTGGTATGTGTTTACGTATATATACCCTAGTATGCCTATATAGTACCTCCTCTGGTATGTGTTTACGTATATATACCCTAGTATGCCTTTACATTACCTCCTCTGGTATATGTTTACGTATATACCCTAGTATGCCTATATAGTACCTCCTCTAGTATGTGTTTACGTATATATACCCTAGTATACCTATATATTACCTCCCGTGGTATATGTTTACATATATACCCTAGTATGCCTATATAGTACCTCCTCTGGTATGTGTTTACGTATCTACCCTAGTATGCCTATATAGTACCTCCTCTGGTATATGTTTACGTATCTACCCTAGTATGCCTATATAGTACCTCCTCTGGTATATGTTTACGTATCTACCCTAGTATGTCTATATAGTACCTCCTCTGGTATATGTTTACGTATCTACCCTAGTATGTCTATATAGTACCTCCTCTGGTATATGTTTACGTATCTACCCTAGTATGTCTATATAGTACCTCCTCTGGTATATGTTTACGTATCTACCCTAGTATGTCTATATAGTACCTCCTCTGGTATATGTTTACGTATCTACCCTAGTATGTCTATATAGTACCTCCTCTGGTATATGTTTACGTATCTACCCTAGTATGTCTATATAGTACCTCCTCTGGTATATGTTTACGTATCTACCCTAGTATGTCTATATAGTACCTCCTCTGGTATATGTTTACGTATCTACCCTAGTATGTCTATATAGTACCTCCTCTGGTATATGTTTACGTATCTACCCTAGTATGTCTATATAGTACCTCCTCTGGTATATGTTTACGTATCTACCCTAGTATGTCTATATAGTACCTCCTCTGGTATATGTTTACGTATATACCCTAGTATGTCTATATAGTACCTCCTCTGGTATGTGTTTACATATATACCCTAGTATGTCTATATAGTACCTCCTCTGGTATGTGTTTACGTATATACCCTAGTATGTCTATATAGTACCTCCTCTGGTATGTGTTTACGTATATACCCTAGTATGCCTATATATTACCTCCCCTGATATGTGTTTTCGTATCTACCCTAGTATGCCTATTTATTACCTCCCGTGGTATATGTTTACATATATACCCTAGTATGCCTATATAGTACCTCCTCTGGTATATGTTTACGTATCTACCCTAATATGCCTATACATTACCTCCTCTGGTATATGCTTGCCGGGAACTGCAGCTACTCCAGTCATGAAGTCGTTTGTGATAAAAGTCCTAATGACGATTGATCTTTGACATGACGGCTGGTGAAGCACTGGATCACGATCAAAGTGTAGCGGTGTTATGACCACAGGCATCTGGCTGAGCTTGCTGAAAGAGTCTGTGTCCTGTAGAACCTTAGAGGCCATAAAGTCAGCTTGGCGTAGTGTACTGAGAACTCCTGCTGTCAGGAAGGTCGGCGTTACATCCTCGATACTGTACTTCACTGCACCACCAAACACATACACCACCCTGTAAGTTGTGTGAAATTAGTTATCAGATGAAAACACCTAATAAAACATACACAAACATTATTGTAGTAGGCCCTATATACAGCTTCCACAATTAAAGAAACTTGTACTAAATTTCAGAGACTTTTTTGTATGCAATTGGCAACTTGATAACCGACAGGTCAGCAAGGGTGCGGCTGTGAGCTTTACTGTAAATACCCTTTATAACCCTCCAATGTATTTATATATTAGCATCAATTCTGTAATAAAATAATAACTGGTTCAGTATGTCTGTAAAACATGCACACCACTTGAAATTGTCATAAAATCTACCCAGTTATAAGGATATTAAATGGAAACCAAAGGTGGACCATATGTACAAAACCACTAACAATGACATATCATTATACATCTTGTCACATTAAAAACACTAAAAATCCCAGATGTTAAGGGGTATACATAATTACATTACATTGTTATGTCACAGTGAAATCAAAACGAAGTGGTTTAAGGCTCACAATAAGGAAATGGTGTACAAGGTATAGTCTGGTAAATCAGTTTTATTATATGACTGGTGCTAATCCCTAGCCCTGATTGGAGGAGCGACGTCACATGACGAGTCTGTAAATATGTTACAGACCTCGTTCTATAAATAGAAAAGTGTTACGACTTCGACCTATATATAGAAACGTGTTACAGACCGCTACTAAAAACAGTCCGTGGTTATTTCCCAGATAGTCTTTAAATCTGATACCATTCACACTACTGAATTCAACTACAGTTCAAATTATTGTTCAAATAATATTTACTTGAAATTAAATATCATATGAATTGAATCTGAAATTCAATTTTTGTGTATGTTATTTTGTATTTGCAGTCCTTCACTTTGTGATTCCAAAATGGTCCATGTCATCCATGTGTTTATGACACGAAAAAGTATTAATCTTATTGTAAAATGAAGACCATAATATAGTAATCTTGACTGATAAGGAAATGGTGTACAAGGTATAGTCTGTAAACAGTTGTAACCTTGACTGACAAGGAAATGGTGTACAAGGTATAGTCTGTAATCAGTTGTAACCTTGACTGACAAGGAAATGGTGTACAAGGTATAGTCTGTAAACAGTTGTAACCTTGACTGACAAGGAAATGGTGTACAAGGTATAGTCTGTAAACAGTTGTAACCTTGACTGACAAGGAAATGGTGTACAAGGTATAGTCTGTAAACAGTTGTAACCTTGACTGACAAGGAAATGGTGTACAAGGTATAGTCTGTAAACAGTTGTAACCTTGACTGACAAGGAAATGGTGTACAAGGTATAGTCTGTAAACAGTTGTAACCTTGACTGACAAGGAAATGGTGTACAAGGTATAGTCTGTAAACAGTTGTAACCTTGACTGACAAGGAAATGGTGTACAAGGTATAGTCTGTAAACAGTTGTAACCTTGACTGACAAGGAAATGGTGTACAAGGTATAGTCTGTAAACAGTTGTAACCTTGACTGACAAGGAAATGGTGTACAAGGTATAGTCTGTAAACAGTTGTAACCTTGACTGACAAGGAAATGGTGTACAAGGTATAGTCTGTAAACAGTTGTAACCTTGACTGACAAGGAAATGGTGTACAAGGTATAGTCTGTAAACAGTTGTAACCTTGACTGACAAGGAAATGGTGTACAAGGTATAGTCTGTAAACAGTTGTAACCTTGACTGACAAGGAAATGGTGTACAAGGTATAGTCTGTAAACAGTTGTAACCTTGACTGACAAGGAAATGGTGTACAAGGTATAGTCTGTAAACAGTTGTAACCTTGACTGACAAGGAAATGGTGTACAAGGTATAGTCTGTAAACAGTTGTAACCTTGACTGACAAGGAAATGGTGTACAAGGTATAGTCTGTAAACAGTTGTAACCTTGACTGACAAGGAAATGGTGTACAAGGTATAGTCTGTAAACAGTTGTAACCTTGACTGACAAGGAAATGGTGTACAAGGTATAGTCTGTAAACAGTTGTAACCTTGACTGACAAGGAAATGGTGTACAAGGTATAGTCTGTAAACAGTTGTAACCTTGACTGACAAGGAAATGGTGTACAAGGTATAGTCTGTAAACAGTTGTAACCTTGACTGACAAGGAAATGGTGTACAAGGTATAGTCTGTAAACAGTTGTAACCTTGACTGACAAGGAAATGGTGTACAAGGTATAGTCTGTAATCAGTATTAACATTGACTGAATCTAACCAACTTTATAACTAGATATTACCATACTTTGTTTTAGATATAAACTAAAGGTGTTTTTTGGGTCATGAGATTATTTGTAAAAATGATTTTCACTATGGATTGATGAAATATCAAAGACATTACTTTGTCCTTAGTGAGGAGTACAATAAAGATTCTCTATTGCATGACCTGAAACAAGAATTCCACGGAAGTGGATGTGTCGCCTGCGCAGGAAGCTGGGAGATTACGAAGAAATAGATACACTTTTCATTTCAAGAAATAATGTTAAAAGTAAGCAATAATCATAGATTAGCAAGCAGTTTTGGTAACGAAGCACTGCATGAAGTTTGAGTTTGATCGGCCCAAGGAAACTCAAGTTATCGCACGAAAACAGATTTTCTATTGATAGTAACAGTGACCTTGACCTTTGGACCTGAAAAGCAATCCCAAGCAAGCACTTTTGGTTGGGAAGCACTGCATGAAGTTTGAGTTTGATCAGCCCTAGGAAACTCAAGTTATCGCACGAAAACAGATCTTCTATTTATAGTAACAGTGACCTTGACCTTTGACCTTCGGACCTGAAAAGCAATCCCAAGCAAGCACTTTTGGTAAGGAAGCACTGCATGAAGTTTGAGTTTGATCGGCCCAAGGAAACTCAAGTTATCGCATGAAAACCTCTGTGCGGACGCCGCCGACATGGCAATACCTATGTGTCACCAGCTTTTCGCAGGCGACACAAAAATTGGCGGACAGGTATAATTAAACTGACATCCAATGGAATGTAACAAACCTGGGTGTGTTACAGTCACTTATTAACCTATTAGATTAGTTTTACCTGTTGATATTATGGCAGGTCCTTGGGATGATCTTTGCCAGGGTCATCAGATTGGTCCAGTTAGGTTTGCCATTACTGGACAGGGCTGCCACATAACTATAACTCCTACAGTCTCCCTGAAAGTATAATCACAATGTCAGACTTGATAAGTATGATAACACAACTGTAGTGCCTAAGTCTCCCTGAAAGTATAATCACAATGTCAGACTTGATAAGTATGATAACACAACTGTAGTGCCCAAGTCTCCCTGAAGTATAATCACAATGTCAGACTTAATAAGTATGATAACACAACTGTAGTGCCCAAGTCTCCCTGAAGTATAATCACAATGTCAGACTTAATAAGTGTGCCAACACAACTGTAGTGCCCAAGTCTCCCTGAAGTATAATCACAATGTCAGACTTAATAAGTATAGCAACACAACTGTAGTGCCCAAGTCTCCCTGAAGTAAATCACAATGTCAGACTTAATAAGTATAACAACACAACTGTAGTGCCCAAGTCTCCCTGAAGTATAATCACAATGTCAGACTTAATAAGTATGACAACACAACTGTAGTGCCCAAGTAGCAGTATAAAGTTAAGATTGATGACCCCTATGTAATTGCTTACATAAACCTGAGTTTGGTGGCTGGTAATGTAGTACTGTGGTTGATGATCCTTGCACCTTACCTTGACCCCTGCTTTTTTTTTTTTTTTTTTTAGAAAGTAGTGAAGTATTTAGGGTCAAGTGTACTTAACTAGCTTATCTGTTTTGATAGGAAGTAGTGTATTACTAAGGTTTATGACCCGGTGAACCACCTTATCTGCACCCCTACTGTTTTGATAGGAAGTAGTGTATTACTAAGGTTTATGACCCCAGTGAACCACCTTATCTGAACCCCTACTGTTTTGATAGGAAGTAATGTACTACTAAGGTTTATGACCCGGTGAACCACCTTACCTGCACCCCTACTGTTTTGATAGGAAGTACTACTGTTTTGATAGGAAGTAGTGTATCACTAAGGTTTATGACCCCAGTGAACCACCTTATCTGAACCCCTACTGTTTTGATAGGAAGTAATGCTGTTTTGATAGGAAGTAATGTATTACTAAGGTTTATGACCCCGGTGAACCACCTTACCTGCACCCCTAATGTTTTGATACTAAGGTTTATGACATCAGTAAATCACCTTACCTGCACCCCTGCTGTTTTGATAGGAAGTAATGTATTACTAAGGTTTATGACCCGGTGAACCACCTTACCTGCACCACTTCTGTTTTGATAGGAAGTAGTGTATCACTAAGGTGTATGACCCCAGTGTACCACCTTACCTGCACCCCTACTGTTTTGATAGGAAGTAATGTATTACTAAGGTGTATGACCCCAGTGTACCACCTTACCTGCACCCCTACTGTTTTGATAGGCAGCAGTGTGGCATGGAGATTATCACTTTTACAGATCGACAGTAACTTCTCCTGTTCCTCGTCAGACATCCCATTCTTTAGCTCCGTCAGCAGCTTGTGGGGCTGTAACACAATGTACAGGATAATACAATGTCTGTAATGATACTCAATATGAATGCATACCGTAAAAACCCATGTAATTTGCGCACCTGTGTAATTTACGCAGGTACTTTTTGAGGCTGAAAATCGTGAAAAAAGCTTCTACTCGAATATTTTGCGCACCCAAAAAATCTGGGAAAAAAACGATGTTCATGCTCCGAAAATCGATCCATAAATAAAAAAAATATATATATTTCTATGATTTTTTTTTCATTGATGTAAAATAATATTTAAAACCAAGAAGAAACTACGTAAAATGTGTATTTTGTTGCTTGTTTTCTTTAAATTATCTGATTACACATGACACAGATGTGTGCGCATATCGGCATACATCGAATCATTTTAGCAATATTTTACCTAAAACATTTACTTGCTTACAAAAACATATCAATTAATAAGTAATTCGATGTTTAGTAACCGCTGGTGCATATCTCCTGGTGAAAGACATAATTATATACCTTTTATTGATCATAATTACGATCAGTGAGAAGCGCTCATCATGGCGGCTTGGGTTACGTCACTTCAAACCAGGTCATGTCACAGTTCAGTTTGGCCACGGAATAAGATTATCTAAGTCCGTGGTTTGGCGATATTTTTTACAAATTACAATGCAGTAATTAGCTAACACTATCTCTGTGATTACCCGTTAACAATAGCTCTACTAATTGAAATGATTTGCAGTCGCGATCGACGGACCGTGTTGTTGTTTTTTCACTCACCAACACGTGGCGTGAATTACGAAGCCCTACTGCATTGTCATAACAGACTGATTTGACTGATAAGGGATTATAAAAAATATGTTTATACTAGAAGCGTGGACAATCAATACATCCTCTTCAAATCTACTCCAAGGAAAAAAATAGTTAACGCAGACTATTTTTACGATGCTTCATTTAATAAATATTGAAATAATTCACGAGGTTATTATCAATCACGTGTTTACGTAATGTTAGACGCGAGATCAACATGAAAGTGAGCCGGAAAAAAAACATGCTATACGTTTACGCATAGGCGATTTGAAAAAACCTTACAGAACTTACATGGAACGGAGCTTAAATTGAACAACTACATTTTCGTAATAGTATGGGGAAACGCACCGAGATGTCGAAACGTAATGTCGTAAGTTGATCGGCGATTCTCTGGCATAGGAATTTGGCTAAACTTTTTTGTTAACGGTTACCTATTTAATAATATTTTCCACATAAACTCACATAACAACACATTATGTATCTTTTATTAATGTTTGACATAAATATATTTGTTGACCGTCATTTGTCTTAATTAGAGTTACGTGTACCAAGGGAAATAATCCAAAATGGCGATCTCCCAGAATCGTCGATCTTTTCCTGAAAAAAACTTGAAATTTTCTATACCTGTGTATTTTACGCACCCCCCACTTTGGGTATTAAATTTCTGGAAAAAAAGTGCGCAAATTACATGGGTTTTTACGGTACATCTTTTAAAGTAATGGATAAAAGAAAACATTAAAAGTTTTAAAATTATTGCCAACAAACTATTAACAACTATTTGACCTTTGAACTTAAGGTTAAGGTTGCAACACATAATAATAGCATGCTACATACATTATACAGACACCATGGTTTGAATACAGACACCAATGTTTGAATACAGACACCAATGTTTGAATACAGACACCAATGTTTGAATACAAATACCAATGTTCGAATACAGATACCAATGTTTGAATACAGACACCAATGTTTGAATACAGACACCAATGTTTGAATACAGACACCATTGTTTGAATACAGACACCAATGTTTGAATACAAATACCAATGTTTGAATACAAATACCAATGTTTGAATACAGACACTAATGTTTGAATACAGACACCAATGTTTGAGTATAGTTTGTATCTATGTAATGATGTGTCATAGTAACTTATGTTTCACTAACAGTTGGTACATGAACCATGTCCTACCGTTTTTATGGCATCAACATAATTAATAATGAATCTCAGCTTGACGTTCGTCTCAGCGAAGTTTCTACACATGTAAGGCTCCTCAGCACATATCACACGTATTGCAAGACCAGGTCCTGCAAATAAATTCAGGTTGTGTCACAACAGGGATAAAAGCCTTCCAGATGCTATCATTTCACCTGCTGGGTTACACTGGACATTATTTTATTTCAATAACAAGGGGTCCATTGGACCTGTATCGCTCACCTGGTTTTATATATAAGTCATTACAACTGAATGCATTTAGTACATCTTCATATGAAATTTCCTCAAAACCAGACAAGATCTATGTTCTAACCCAACTGGGACCACAATATCTGACTTTCAACTAATCAGGGGCCTCCATGAGTTGCCATGTTAACATATTTTGAAATAAGTAATATGTCATATTACAGGGTGTAATTAGACAATACTTTAATTTTCATTCAATTATAAGCTTTTATAAACCTAGAAATCAATTTTTGATAATTTATGAAAACTACACCATAGAATATGATAATCTAGCTGTACCATTTCTTGGGACCGCAGGGGTCAAATCAACCTCATTCAATTAAGAAATGTTTGTTCTTCCTCAATAATGTTTTTGACCAAATTTTGTACAATCCACTCAGGCAATTAGGGGGTATTAGCGTCTTAAAGCAAAATATTAGATGATTTTCTTCTTGGGGCCCAGCCTTCCTAGCCCCAGGGGTCGAACCAGCCTCATTTATTTAGGAAATGATTGCCCACCCCCAATGAAGTTTCAGAACAAATTTGGTTAAAATCGTCTCTGGTTTTTAGGAGGCGATGCGTTTTAAAGCAAAATTTAAGCTAATTTCCCCTTCAGGACCCCACCCCCCTGGCCTCAGGGGTTCAGCCAACCTCATTTATTTAAGAACTGATAACCCTCCCCTACCAATGCTTCAGACTTAATTTTCCCCTTTGGGGCCCGGCCTTCCTAGCCCCAGGGGTCGCACCAGCCTTGCCATCCCCTAATGAAGTTTCAGAGCAAATTTGGTTAAAATCGTCTCTGGGGTTGAGGAGGAGATGCATTTTAATGCAAAATTTAAACTAAGTTCCCCTTTAGGCCCTCGCTCCCCTAGCCTAGAGGTCGAACCTACCTCATTTATTTAAGAAATGATTGCCTCCCCTACTGATGCTTCAAACTAAGTTTGGTTGAAATCGTCTCTGGCGTTTAAGAGGAGATGCGTTTTAAAGCAAATTTAGCTAATTTCCTGTCAGGGCACCGCCCCCCTGGCCTCAGGGATTAAACCAACCTCATTTATTTAGGAAATGATTGCCCTCCCCCCATGAAGTTAAAATCCTCTCTGGGGTTAAGGAGGAGATGCGTTTTAAAGCAAATTTAGCAAAGTTCCCCATCAGGGCACCGCCCCCCTAGCCTTAGGGATTGAACCAACCTCATTTATTTAGGAAATGATTGCCCTCCCCCAATGAAGTTAAAATCCTCCCTTCGGACCAGGTGAGCAAATACTTCCCAATGAAAATATGTTTTACTACAGAACCATTTGTTGTGGGAATCTTATTGAAGCATCTTTATGTTTATAAACAATTTTCTTGACACAAACTTCAGCAAAAACAAAGAAAGGTTGAAATAATACATGTGTTAACAATGATATTCCAATTTGACCAGAATGTAAGTTTATATGGAAACAGAAACAACATCTTCACATGTGTAAACTAATGAATTCAGGCTGATGAGGCTCAAAAGATAAGCCCTGAGTACATTTTTCAAATTAGTTCTGTTCAATCCATTTTTTTCTAAAGTTTAATAACTTTAGCTCAATACAAGCAAGTTGACAAAAAATACCTCTTTTTCAACAGGGCATCAAAAGTACAGATCAATATTAACTCCTCAAAACAACCTGTTGTCTTATAATAGATCCCAGTTGTTAATTAACTCACCTGGAAATGGGTGTCTGTTGACTAGCTCAGGGGGCAGGCCAAGGTCGCGACCTATCTGCCGCACCTCGTCCTTGTGAAAGTCTTTGAGAGGTTCTACAACACGTCCCTGTCTTCGTAGCTCTCGGACTAGTTCTGTGTCGTTGTGATGAGTTTTTATGGCATCAGCGTTACCACTGGCCAACTCTGATGCACTCTCAATAAGGTCGGGACGCAGTGTGCCTAGACATGATAAACCAAACATCACATTCAATTTAATTTTGAATTTGAATTAGAAGCTGGCACTTATCACTTAGTTCTGTTGCATAAAAATAGTTGTGAAAATATTCATAATCTTCATCACTGATTATAAGACTGACCTTGACCTAGATAAACATCCTCTGGTTTGAGATTCAGTTCCTCTATCACATCATTGGCTACCTGTAAAAAGTAGGATTTTATAATAACAAGTCCACTCATATGTACTACTTTATCACTAATAATCCTCCAGTAGACAAATCATACATAATTCTGTATCACTAATAATCACACTTTAGTTAAGTGAACTCTTTGCCAAAACCACATTTCTACCATATCCAATATATGTCCTCACAAGTTAGCAATGTGGATCACTTACCAGATTTGAGCAGCAATGTCATTAATAGTACAAAGGTAAAAGATGGATGAACTTACTTAATAAACTCTTTTGAGTTCATTTTATTGTTTTATAAAAGACTGTTTACCGAATGTGTTGATATTTCATTTTTTTTAATTCAAAAATGATTTGAAGAAATGAAGACCCTAGCTTACTCTCATGAATGTGTCGCCAATAATTTTGCGTTTGTCCTCCGGGTGGATTGTGGTATTCAGTGTGTCTGTCTTCCTCTTTCTCGAGTTAGGGTCTGACTTGTCTACCTGTATAGAGGTGGATCCGTTGTAGAAAGTGTGTGCTGCCCGCACCACTGTCAATTAAACATAGAACATATTACACACAGTACATGTAACACATAGTGTTTAATTGTGTGCTGCCCGCACCACTGTCAATTAAACATAGAACATATTACACACAGTACATGTAACACATAGTGTTTAATTGTGTGCTGCCCGCACCACTGTCAATTAAACATAGAACATATTACACACAGTACATGTAACACATAGTGTTTAATTGTGCTGCCCGCACCACTGTCAATTAATTAACATAATGAATATTGCACACAGTACATGTAACACATAGTGTTTAATTGTGTGCTGTCCGCACTACCGTCAATTAAACATAGAATATATTACACACAGTACATGTAACACAGTGTTTAATTGTGTGCTGCCCGCACCACTGTCATTTATTTTACATGGCAAAAAAGAGAAGAGGGCGATTTTTTTTGTATTGCGTAGTCTGTAAAATGTTCATTGTGGGCATTACCTTGTCTTTTTATAGTTGTGTAGAGACCCGTCATAGAGCAGGCCTCCGAAAATCCCCCCACGATGTTCCAGACGAGAATCACAAACCCCCCATTCCTTATTTGTACCGAAATGAGCGCCATTTGTACACAAGACTAATAAGTCATAATCATTTTAACGCTTGCCTGTATCTCTATACTTATCTTTATTCAAGCGTTTTTGGGAGTTGGGTGACTACTGAGTAAAAACGACATGCGGACCAATTTTCCGGATTTTTTTAAAGACGGCTGCTGGTGCATTCACATGTTTTTTATTTATTACTTTCATGATAAAATCAGCAATGCGGTGCCCTAAAATGAAATGCGCGCGGGCCTGAGAACCAAGTAATCAATTTTTAGTACATGTACCACATGGTGATTTCTAATTGTGTGCTGCCCGCACCACTGTCAATAAAACACAGTACATACACTGTAACAAACAGTATATTATGTAACACTGCACTAGTACTGTCCATACAACATGGTGCTGTTACTCACGTAGCTTTCTGGAATACAAGTCTATCAACAACTAATTTATGTCAATTTGATAACGCAATAATCTTAAGTCGAGCCATGTTCATAAATTTATTACTGATAATGCTGTTCTACTACCCAGCCAGTGTTTTGAGGGTAATTTCTTCTCCAATTTATAACTGTTCTAATAATCTAAATGTTTCACAATCAAACCACTTTGGGGAGCTACTGTGGATTCTAACACCAGTCAGACAATAAAGAAGATGATGCAATTGGTCTGTGTTTACCTTTGACACTGAGCCCCATCCTGGTTAGGGACTGTTCTACTGAAGAGCTCTCATTCTTCCTCATGAAGCCATTGTCTATGTGTACAGCAATGACCTGTTCCTCCTTTAATGCTTTGTGAAGTAGGGCTGCACACACAGTGGAGTCCACTCCACCACTCAATAACATCTAAACAGACAATAATCTATAGTAGGGCTGCACACACAGTGGAGTCCACTCCACCACCCAGTAACATCTAAACAGACAATAATGTATAGTAGGCCTGCACACACAGTGGAGTCCACTCCACCACTCAGTAACATCTAAACAGACAATAATGTATAGTAGGGCTGCACACACAGTGGAGTCCACTCCACCACTCAGTAACATCTAAACAGACAATAATGTATAGTAGGGCTGCACACACAGTGGAGTCCACTCCACCACTCAGTAACATCTAAACAGACAATAATGTATAGTAGGGCTGCACACACAGTGGAGTCCACTCCACCACTCAGTAACATCTAAACAGACAATAATGTATAGTAGGGCTGCACACACAGTGGAGTCCACTCCACCACTCAGTAACATCTAAACAGACAATAATGTATAGTAGGGCTGCACACACAGTGGAGTCCACTCCACCACTCAGTAACATCTAAACAGACAATAATGTATAGTAGGGCTGCACACACAGTGGAGTCCACTCCACCACTCAGTAACATCTAAACAGACAATAATGTATAGTAGGGCTGCACACACAGTGGAGTCCACTCCACCACTCAGTAACATCTAAACAGACAATAATGTATAGTAGGGCTGCACACACAGTGGAGTCCACTCCACCACTCAGTAACATCTAAACAGACAATAATGTATAGTAGGGCTGCACACACAGTGGAGTCCACTCCACCACTCAGTAACATCTAAACAGACAATAATGTATAGTAGGGCTGCACACACAGTGGAGTCCACTCCACCACTCAGTAACATCTAAACAGACAATAATGTATAGTAGGGCTGCACACACAGTGGAGTCCACTCCACCACTCAGTAACATCTAAACAGACAATAATGTATAGTAGGGCTGCACACACAGTGGAGTCCACTCCACCACTCAGTAACATCTAAACAGACAATAATGTATAGTAGGGCTGCACACACAGTGGAGTCCACTCCACCACTCAGTAACATCTAAACAGACAATAATGTATAGTAGGGCTGCACACACAGTGGAGTCCACTCCACCACTCAGTAACATCTAAACAGACAATAATGTATAGTAGGGCTGCACACACAGTGGAGTCCACTCCACCACTCAGTAACATCTAAACAGACAATAATGTATAGTAGGGCTGCACACACAGTGGAGTCCACTCCACCACTCAGTAACATCTAAACAGACAATAATGTATAGTAGGGCTGCACACACAGTGGAGTCCACTCCACCACTCAGTAACATCTAAACAGACAATAATGTATAGTAGGGCTGTACACACAGTGGAGTCCACTCCACCACCCAGTAACATCTAAACAGACAATAATCTATAGTAGGGCTGTACACACAGTGGAGTCCACTCCACCACCCAGTAACATCTAAACAGACAATAATCTATAGTAGGGCTGTATACACAGTGGAGTCCACTCCACCACCCAGTAACATCTAAACAGGCAATAATGTATAGTAGGGCTGTACACAAAGTGGAGTCCACTCCACCACTCAGTAACATCTAAACAGACAATAATCTATAGTAGGAGTAACATCTAAACAGACAATAATGTACTAGGGCTGCACACACAGTGGAGTCCACTCCACCACCCAGTAACATAGTGGAGTCCACTCCACCACTCAGTAACATCTAAACAGACAATAATGTAGTAGGGCTGCACACACAGTGGAGTCCACTCTACCACCCAGTAACATCTATAGTAGGGCTGTATACACAGTGGAGTCAACTCCACCACCCAGTAACATCTAAACAGACAATAATGTATAGTAGGGCTGTACACACAGTGGAGTCCACTCTACCACCCAGTAACATCTAAACAGACAATAATCTATAGTAGGGCTGTACACACAGTGGAGTCACACTTGTAATCCTAAAAGGGGACTAAATTACAGCTACAGGCAAAATATCAGTGTTTCATTCATAAGAACCTATTAAAAGATTTAGACATATGACACCTGTGACCTTGAATGTCGAACAAGGACATTATAATATTAGGTTGAACAGAGTTTACAGTCTTCCAACCCAGCATGCTTCTGGAAAAATATCATTACCCTGGACCTTTTGGTTATACAGAACAAATCATTTAAAGATTCAAACATATATTGACCACTGTGACCTTGAATATGGGTGAAGGTCATTCACTTGGTAGTCCTTCATCCCAGCATGTTAATGGCCAAATATCATCACCCTTGGCATTCAATGGTTTTAAACATATTTGACCCCTGTGACCTTAAAATATATATGTCAAGGTCATTCATTTGAACTTGGTAGTCCTTCATCCCAGCATGTTACTGGCATTATCCTAGGCCTCTTGGTTATTCAGAAGAAGTTGTTTAAAGGTTTAGAAAATATTTGACCCTGTGACCTTGAAAAAAGATGAAGGTCATTCATTTGAACAAACTTTATAGCCCTTCATCCCAGCATGCTACTAGCCAAATATCATCACCCTAGGCCTATTGGTTATTCATCAGAAGTTGTTTAAATGTTTAAAACATATTTGCCCTCTGTGACCTTGAATATAAGTCAAGGTCATTTATTTGAACAAAATTGGTAGCCCTTCATCCCAGCATATTATTGCCCAAATATCATCACCCTAGGCCTCTCGGTTATTCAGAACCCCTGTGACCTTGAAAGTGGGTCAAGGTTATTTATTTGAACAAACTTGGTAGCCCTTCATCCCAGCATGTTACTGGCCAACTATCATCACCCTTGGCCTCTTGATTATTCAGAGGATATTGTTTAAATGTTTTTAACATATTTGACCCATGTGACCTTGAATATTAGTCAAGGTCATTTCTTTGAAAAAACTTGGTAGCCCTTCATCCAGCATGTTACTGGCCAAATATCATCACCCTAGGCCCTTCAGTTATTCAGAAGAAGTTGTTTAAAAGATTTTAACATATTTGACCCCTGTGACCTTGAATATATGGCAAGGTGCATGTTACTGGCCAAATATCATCATCCTAGGCCTCTTGGTTATTCAGAAGAAGATGGTTAAAGATTTTAACATATTTAACCCCTGTGACCTTGAAAAATGATGAAGGTAATTTATTTGAACAAACTTGGTAGCCCTTCATCCAAGCATGCTTCTGGCCAAATATCATCACCCTAGGCCTTTTGGTTACTGAAAAGAAGTAAAAAGTTGACGCCGGACGCCACACCATGCCATAAGCTGCGGGCCAGGTGAGCTAATAATGCTATAGCCTCTGGATTTTTTCTTTCTCTCACGTACTCACTATTAGGATTCCCCTATTCATAAAAATGGTATGACATCAGGTAAACCATACAATGACGTCATGTCAACAATCTATCAACGTCAGGTCAACTCTGAATTTAGTGTGTAACGTTAACATTACATTATTTGTATAATACACAATTGGAAAAAAGGGTAATAGAAAAAGAATATCATTTATCCCCTAGAGGCGAGATTCTGAACATCAGGTTGAGATAGAGGCGAGATTCTGAACATCAGGTTGAGATTCCCGTAACTCACCCCCAAGGGGCTGAGATATTCTATTAATTTTTTGCTGACCAGAAGCATGGATAGCTGTCTAACAGGCGAGAACAATCCTATCCTTACCAGAACTTTTTGATCTTTGACGGTTCCCCTGATGTATGATATACAGGCGTTCTCTCGACATGACATGGTGTAGTTCGCCTCACATTTGACCACTGTGAAAAGGAAGTTTTTGAACATGGCCATTCCATGCTCTGTGAGATCAACCTCAGGATGGAACTGGACTCCATACAACTTCTGCTTTTCGTTGGATATTCCTGATAAAAGATATTTTCAAAATGTAGTGGTGTGTTGACAACGGTTTGATTATCTTATACTTACCTTTACCTTTAATACATGTACATGAATTGACCTTTATTGAATTAGTCAGGAGGATTTAAATTAGCATTTCGTTTACAGCAAATGTCAGATGCATGCTTGCCAACTTTTTGAAATTTCTATGGGGGAAATTCTGCATGCTTAACATTAAAATATAATCAAAATGTGTGTATATACCCCCTAGAGACAAAATAACACTTTAAAATGGCATATTTTGAAATTTTCTTTCAGATGAAATCATTAGATCTTAGAATATAAGAATAGTATAGAAATGTTCTTACTAAATTCAGGGGTCAAAAATCAGGAGTCTCCCTCCTAAAAAGGGAGTGTTGGCAAGTATGCAGATACCATGTAAAACCTAAATAATTTCTGATTGGTGCTTAAAGATCCCTATACCACTGCAGGAAAACAACAAGAGTTCCACTTTTTAAAAAAAAATAAAAATAATTTGCACTTAATTTCATCTTCATTACTTTTTTCATAAAAGTTTGGTATGGTATGGTTTTCTTTTAAGAATTGCATTATCAATGCAATAGTCATGCTGAAAAAGTGTTCTGGCAGTGGTTCAGAGATCCTTTTTGCAAATTTATGGAAAATAGGCATTACACAATAAATAGGTAATCTATAGTACTTTATTGATATGTTTTTCAGCTCTTGCAGAAAACAAAATTGACAATACACCAATATCAACAAATAAAAGTCATGATACTCTCTGCCCTATAACAAACAGCTACCCACAAGGTATACTAGTTATATGTACTCTACCTGCTACGAGGCTGCCAGACTTTGCGACGACCTTGAAGCCATCAGCGACCTTGTCTATACTGTCTCCATGTGTCAGCAGTACCGTCTGCTCCTTATTCAGTCCTCTGTAGTCAAATCAAAATCAATGACCTATTTATGACATGCTACAAATAATTTGGCATTCTAGCAACAATGCTACTTTACATGGGACATACATCTGGCCTAAATCCACAGGTAATGGAGAAATATACCATTCATACTTTCATGAAAATTCTTGCTGCTAGTCTGGTTTAACTTGAGTGAATTAATATTGATATAACAACAATTATGTTGGCAAGTAATCAGAAAATTTTGATGAATAAGTTTCATGTGAATACCATGAACCCCAACTCTACCAGTCATACCCTTTACTCACTTAAACAGTGGCGATTTGTTCTCCACAGTGATATTAAATTGACCATCTTCACGAGCCTCTTTTTGAAGGACACTGCCATTAAACTCTTTGTTCATCATCTGCAACAGGTTAAAGTCGTGAATTTTGAATATAAACAAAAGTACGGTAATATAAAACTTGGTTTTGGTATACTACATGAACAAATAATTATGATTAAAATTGGACAGTGATAGAGGAACCCTGGTACTGGTCAATATGTTATCATATATGTCAATCAATGGAACCTTTTCAAAGCAGTTTGTCCCTCTCATCAGCAAACTATTAAATAAAGGGGTAAAGTTAGTGGACAATAGTTGGTCAAAGTGCAGGAAATTCTTTTTGCATCATTTCTCTTTAGTTCAAGGTTGCCAAATAAGGTTACTTTAGTGTTTAAATGCAATTTTTGAGATATATGACAATTTATTAATAATTAAGTATTTTTTGTCTTTCAGTGATAGTTTTGAATCCATGTACATGCATTTCCAGTTTTTAAGTTTGATACCTCTGAAAAAATACGAGAAGAAAACTTTTAAAACTAACCATACTTTAACAACTTGGCCAAGAAAAAAGAAGGAAAAATCAATAATGAAACCATAAAAGATTAATGAAGTCTACCACAGGTTACTGTTAGGTATGTAGGATATTCTACCCGAGATCTAGGGTGTAAAATTTGGGTCAGAACCAAGGCTTTACATACCTGTAGTACATAATGATGGACTGATTTTCTCTCACCTCTCAACCAACTTTTGGTAAAACCGGACATAGACAATACAAGTACAACACTAAATACAGCAAACTTTCCAGATAACCTATACAATAAATAAGGCCATGTATGGAAAGACCAGAAAAAAGTATGGTCTACTGCATGTAAACCTCAAACTTAAAGATCCATGCAAGACCTCCAGGGCAAGCTCGTATAACAATTCTTTTGTCTTTGCTGTCAGCAAGATTGCTGTTCTTTCAAACATCATTTTGACGTGTTTTCAATTATGATGTCATAACAAAATGGCATCACCTGATTTTGACATCATAGCAGTACAGCATGCATGTGGGATATACATTTCTCTTACACTGAACAGGTGTATCCCCACTTTTACCGTTGTGAGATTTCCTTGTCTAACCCGAGGGTATGATGTCACTTCATCAATACAATGACATCACATCAACAATTCATCAACATCACCCAGAATTTAGCATGTAACATTATCATTAAATTGTGTATATCATAAATATTGGGAGAACAGGGTAAAAGAAAAAATAATCATTCACCCCCTTGTGGGTGAGATAGGGGAATCTCAACCCCCGGGGGGGGGGGGGGAAATTCTTAAATTGCCAAGCACAAGGCTATGCCGAGTGTTTGGTAACTTAAGAATCCTCCCCCTCAGGTAGAGATTCCCTTGGGGTGAGAGATTCTATTGATTTCTTAACCTGAAGAGGTGTATCCACACTTTTCCCTGTGTGAAATTCTATTATTTTCTTACCCTGGACAGGTGTATACACACTTTTCCCGGTGTGAGATACCCTTGTCTCGCCATAGAGTCGAGACGGGGGATCCCCCTTTTAATAACAATTGTATGACGTCGCGTCTAGGGCTGTAACGATACACCTATGCCACGATACGATACATATCACGATATCTACCCGCGATACAATACATTTTGATATGATACAGGATGACGAAATGTTATGCTTCCTCTTCAAATGCGTCGCCATGTTTGATGTGTTCCCCGACTTGTAACTTAAATCTACGAAACATATGCGGCAAGTGGAGAGTGATTTTCCATCGGGGACATTTAGCAGGAATCCAAAATGCTGCCAAACAGTCGAGCGAAAGGAAGCCTTTATGCTGCTACATTGATTTCTATGTAAAGGGGCACCACTGCTGCATTAATAATTGAAATATAAATTAATTTACTTGATTTTTCAAATGTGCATAACTTGAAAAATATATGTTATATGTGAATTAAAGTGTTATGAAAATTGTTCGTTATTGTCTCTAGTTTACATTAACGTTTTCAATTCTGAAGTTGCTTCAGTATTTACCTGTACAGGTTTAAATAAAGGTAAGAAAGGGTGAAACTTTCAATTAATCGGATTTAAGCACCAGAAAGATAATTTCAAAATTATTTTTGTCAGCAAATGTGATTGGCAAATGATATCAGAGATTATAAACTTCATTTATGATATTAGATGCTGTACATTTACATGGAGATTATCAGGTAAAAAGATCAGGTATTTCATCAACACTTGCATGTGATTTGCTACAGGTTTCAAGTCGTCATTCGATATATTTACTGTCACAGTCGGCATATAGTATAGATATATATTAGCTACGGTCTAGTTTATGATTAAATCATCGATATATAGTTTGAAGAAATCAATCGGCTCAAAGAGTATCAATGTTAATGTTCAATTTGGCCTCACCTGCAGACAACATGTGCGCCTCGGTCCGCCAATAATTACCTGTTTGCGTAGGGCACAAAGCCGTTCATTGGAAAGTAACATATTATGTTACACCGAAGTATTTCCACATCAACCATGTCAAACCCTTCAAAACCTTTATTATCATCGTAGGTGACGCTGGAGAATAAATGTTTACGTTACACATGGATGGTTAAATTCCAGAAGTCAGGTAATACTAAAAACCGAACCGAACCACGAAAAAAAACGTGAACCGAATCGTAGCAATTTAGTGCGGTTTTCGGTGCACTGCGGTGTATCGTTACAGCCCTAATCGCGTCAACAATGCACCAATGTCACGTCAACAATGCATTTAGCCTGTAATGCTAACTTGACATTACATTTTGTATATATGATAAGAGAAAAGAAACATTCACCCCCTTGAGGTGAGATTTGGAATCTCAACCCTCTGGGAAATATTCCCATATCTCACCCTGAAGGGCGTGAGAATTTTATTAATTACACATGGGACACATGTGGGTTCTCATATAGAGATGGGAGACTGGGAGTTACCAGTCACTATGTCACCTTTACACGGGAAAATGTCAACAGACAACACACCTGCATGCCTAAGCATATTCCTAACACTGGCAGTCCACAGCGGAAAATGTCAGGATCATAGCGTAGAGCATCCTCGGAGTTTACAGAGCTAGGGCCTCCAGATATGATGATAGCCCTGAAACACAAAACAGCAAATGGGTCCGAGTGATAAATGAAGTGATCAGGATATATTCTTTTGATTTTCAGTTATTAAATGAAATTCAACTATAGCAAATGTATGTTGTTGTTTTTTAAATTGACTTTAAAAGATTTGTTTGCCCTTAGAAATTTAAATTTGGAATTTTAATATTTGATATGAAGTTCTTATCTTCATTGAATACATGTATAATTATGTGGTTCCCAATCAGAAACAGAGAGAAACTTTTGAAAATTGGAGAAATCATTTCTCATAAATACAGTCGAATCTGCTCAAGCGACCATCTGTATTAAACGACCATCTGTTTTATGCAACCACTTTTCACTCCTCCCAACTGTTTTTACTATGTAATTTAACTGTAGTAAGCGACCATCTGTCTAACGCGACCAGCGACCACCAAATACTGATCCCAAAATTATGTTAAACTACCACATTTAATACATTTTAGTGACCATGTTTGACGAAAATATACCAAATGATCGTTGAATTAGTTGTGTATCTCCAAATTTGCACAACGTCACCACATTTGACGAAGGGCTAATTCATGATCTACCAAGTTAAATGAATAAATTTGAAAAAAAAATATCCTAACTCATAATAAATTTATTGATGTGCAGAAACAAATTAAAAGCAATTTTTCACTGCTAAATCATCAACATCGGCAGTAAGAAATACGGACCGATGTTTATCGCAGCCAAGCAAAAACCATTTTGATTGCGCAAGTGTCCTGCTAGGTAATGTAACCTTTAACCCTACGATATCCTCCATCTGATTGGATGAAGTACACTGGCAGGTTTTCATTCTTGAAATCGGGTCCGTTGAGAGATGTTCACGACAGCACTCTTGTGCAAAATTATCCTTAAGTAACGGCGCACCTGCGCACTAAATGTTTATGTTAGCATACATATCGTTCCTAATTCCTCATCTATATCAAACGCTTTAAATAACACCCTGAACTTCTCAACGCCATAGTACTAACGACAACAATACCTGTTCGTTTTATGGCTTTATTTAGGAAATTTATTAACTGGATTGTCTTTCCAGTTTCCATCGTAAAATAAAGGAATAAGACATGTGAACCCATCTGTTGTTTGGAGTGTAATGACAATTCTTCTCAAACACTCTTAGTTGTTTGTTTACTGTCATAATTATCACTCAACTATTGATTAGTTATTCATCTGATCTGTTGAACGATGTTGTTTTAAACTACGTGTACGTGTACGTGCGCTTGGGGTGGTGGTCTGTTTACAGTTGTCTCAATAAAGAATCGTTTGGTTATAGTCGGTGGGGCAATTCTGTACAAATTCTGGTCAAACTTTATTAAACATCCACTTTTATTAAAAGAATGTTTTTTTAATTTCCCTTGGGTGGTCGCTTAATACAGATTCCACTGTTCATGCACGTAAGTGAAATAAAAGATCAACTTGTTCCAAAAATGTTGGTTTTCCATAAATAATAAAATATCAGTGAACATTATATATGCCAAGTTTGTTTAAGCAATAAACTGCATAGATGTGGCAGACCAACTGGTATAACTGCCACATGTGTCACAGACAAACTTATCATGGTGCGCGCTATCTGCCACATCTATGCAGTTTATTGCTTATATTTATATTTCCAAAATGAGAATTCGCAAAAAAAAATGATGTCTTTTCCAAATTTCCCGCTTATTACCGTTAGTTCAGGTCAGTATCTAGAACGGCACAAAGATAACAGCTGACGTCATGCGCTATTTCCCATACAAAATTAAAAAGACGCCGCAACATTCGTTAATAATTCATTTGATTTTGATTTATATATATATATATCATATTCTCGATTCATAAATAGTAACAAATGACATTTTGTAAGTAACTAATCAAGTGTCGTAAAACATTTTCGATTTTATTGCGACCTATATCCGGCGCACGCACTCAACGGAAGCCCGCAGTAATCAGGTCAGAGTGATGTTGATCGTGCAACCAGAGAAGGTTGAATTGGTTAAAAATCCAGGCGTAAAATTGTTTGTTGATCTCACAGACCCTTGAGACAGGCAGCTGGTGTTCGGGATCAAAGCAGAAGATACCGATAAGTTCGGTAGTGACACTGTTAAGTCGCTCGGAGGTGCAAAGACCAACTTCAGTTATAGTCTCATAAGATGAAGCTGCCATTGGTAGTACTTTAGTAGTAATATAGAAGGGCTTTGCCACACCAAATGTAAATATTTTGAAATAATGAACATTGTATTTCAGAAATAAACTGCTAAAGCTGTCACTTCCATTTCTGTAAGTAACCCTTTACTCAGACTCTAAGAAGGCGAGTGAATGGGTAATGAACATATTACAGAGTACTACTACTTATTTGCAAAATGAATGGTCTGTCAAGCCAGATTCTACACTTGTGACAGAAAGAGTGGTCGCTTAAAACAGGCTCTACTTTGTTTCTCAAATCAAGTTCTTTGCAGGGAGAGCATGAGTGTCTACATTAACAGGTCCTTTAATTTGGAGATATTTACAGTTATGTTTTCTTACGGTGTATAGATGTTTTTACCTATATTTGCGTTCTTTGATGGTAAACGCAGGAGTATCTAGTGGCAAGATATCTGTCTCTATGTTGAGTTCACGGACACGTCTGTCAATTACCTGTGGAGAAAATAATCATAATCTTATTATAAAACGAAACAGGAGTTATAACATGTCAATAGTTTTCAGGGTTGAGAGCGATCAGGGCTTCTCTGACAGTGTCATATCATTTGGAGGTTCAATTTTAGCATATACATGGTTAAAAAATAATTATTACACGGAATATTAGTCACAGCTATTTATTCCAAGTATAACAATACTAATTTCAATAATTTACCAGAAAATATTTAACCCTTCATAATCACTAATTTTTATAACCAAGTTGAACGCACAGTATATAGTGTTAGATATCAACGTCAGTCATCTAGTCTTAAGAAGTCCTTTGGACTTGAACAAATATATCTATATCATTTCACTGACAGATTATAAAATAAGAACATTGCAAGTGCTTAAAGAATAGAAATACTGTATGCCAGTCGTCAAATTTTTAACTTCAACATATTTATATAGAGATTGAATTTGGATTTTTCCAGTGTTCATGCAAGTACGAACTTTATGAACGGGGAAAAATTTACTCACACACTTCACATGAACGACCTTCGCTTCGCTATGGCCGCTCATGTGGTGAGTTAGTAAATTTCCCTATAATTCCAAATCACTATCAATGGGAAGGAAAACCAAAAACATCATTTAAATTACGTACTGTTTTCATTCATTCATGAATTTTTTGTAGTTATATTCGTCATTTCAGGGATCTCAAAACTAAATTAACTAATTAATGTGAAAATTGTCCCACGACTGCTTCATCCGGCTTGAGCGACTTTGTTGATAAGAATATTGAAGAAATGTAAACAGTAGTTTAATTTGAGAATGAGCTATAATTTAACTTAGGCGATTCTACATAGAGAAAGTTAACAACAAGTGTATTACATGCCGCATTCACCAGGTTTGTTTAAATTCCTGGATAATACATGTGTAAGTAAATTCACCTCAGTTGATGCTTTCTAATATTGGAAACATACAGATTAATTCCTTATATTGTCCCTATTTTGATCACTTTGCGGACCCATATGTGACATTGAGATATTGTCAGTTTGAGCTTTTGTCTGATTGATATCATTGGTTCATCAGACGACAGAACATGTCACTGTTGTGAATATGGTCAAATATAGTTTAAAATATTTTTTTTTATTTTTAAAACTTCTAATACTTGAGATAAACAATAAAACAAAGATACAGTAGCAAAAAAAATTAATGAACAGTAGATGTTGCAATTTTTTTTCACAGCAAGTTTAATTTAAGCAATGGGAGAAAACGTTAACTCGAACGACAATTAAATTGCTTACTGAAAAATTGGGGATTTGGAAAATTTTAAAAGTAGTACTATGAAAAACCCCACGTTCATACTAATATTAACAGCTGTGTTTTTAGTCACATGTACTACTATCAACAAATCACAGAACCTGTAACAAAGCACAAAATCAAATTTGGAATTATATTGCAATCACAGAGTTTTTTTTATGTCATTTACAGTCCAGTATGTTAAAATTTCACGTTGGGGATATGTCACCTTCATAAAATATCTGTCGAAAATCTCAGATACTGACATAGAACTAGCAAACAATCTATTCAATTAGCCCTGTGTCCTATCAAGCAGTCATTAACTAGCCCTGGCCTACAGTATTATGTATGTAGGATACCAGCAGGCACCTGTAGCACTTTGACAACATAATGTAACAGTTCATTTAAATGGTTGTAATACAAGACCATCATATAACATCTGTTACAAAGAAACACTCAATCATTATAATGCTGTGATTTTTTTGTCATTAATCATTCTGGAAGCACTACTGGAAACACAGTCCTTCAATAGTATACACCTACTATGTCATACATGTAGCTGATACATGTATGCATTAAGTGCTTCGGTATTAACTTAGATTTTTTTATATTGATGACAACAAACATACAATGGTTCCGATCGATTATTTTAGAAATTATGAAATAGTCATCTGCCAATAGTTACAAATATGTATGTTACAGTCTGAGATAAGACTCCAGCTCTAACTCACACAAACTGCATTTTCTGTTACATTTTCTGTTAAACATTTTTTGTTATATACTTTTTGTATTACATTTTTTGTTATACATTTTGTATTACATTTTCTCTCAAAAAATCTATACAATCGTATGTCGCTACTATTGTTAAATAATTAGTATTTCAAAGGAGATGTCTGCCTATGTTAAGAATGAAGAGAATACAATGATCATCATACAAGAGCCAAAAGACAGTGAATACATTGTGGAATATTCTATAAACATTATAATGTGAAAAAAAAATTGCCCTCTAAAGTGATACATGCATTATGATATAAATCCATGCCCTGCTCTGCTTAAAAAAACCAAAAACCCACACACACCTGTGATGAAGGTGTGTATTCGTATTCTTACCTTTCCGTACTGGGCACCTGCATCAAGGATGACAACTTTCTCCCCGTCCCCAGTCCCATTGGCCTGTCCCACCGCTGACGACCCATTCATTGCAGAATCTGAAACAAAGTATCACATTGCTTAACATAGCGATGTATGGATGACAACAGTTAACGGTGTCAAACATGTTATGTAAACCTGAACACTGACATGTCAGCAAGGGCCCTGTCATGTGTGTGACCTGACAGTAACCTTGACCTTAAATAATATCTAAACCCCTATTGTATATCTACATATCACATTTCATTTTTTTTGGAATCTGAGATAAGGACTGTTTATGCAAAATTGAGTCCCATTAGGATAAAATCCCTTTATCCCTACGGTAGAAGAAGGATTTCAAAGGTTTTACCTCTATTCCCCCTATTGGGCCCCGCTCCTCTGCCCCTAGGGATGCTTCACCCACTGTTTATACATGTACATCTATGGTACAAAATTAAGTGCTCTAGGCCTAAGGATGCGCCATACCAAATTTAGTCAAGCCTGCTCCAGATCAAATTGGGATAAATTCCCTTAATCCTTATAGTAGTAGAAGAAGTATTTCAAAGGTTTTACCTCTATTTCCCCTATTGGGCCCCACCCATTTACCCCAGGGGGTTCAAACACATGTGCACCAATTATACAAAATGAAGCCCCCTTGGCCCTGCAAGGACGCTCCAGACCAAATTAGGATGACATCTCTTAATCCCTATGGTAGAAGAAGGATTTTAAAGGTTGACCCTGAGGGAGATTAGCCTTTGGCTAAATAATGGTTTTTTTAGTCCTCAATAAATAAAGTTTATTATTATTATCATTATTACCTCTATATTCGACCCCACCCTCTGTCCCCAGGGCACCTGCCTTTATACAAAATTGAGTGCCCTTGGCCTTTCGATCCGGGTGCGACATGTGTGTGAAAGTGACGATTTGTTTCTAAAATATAGAAGCAACTATAATGAACAACGAGAACCAAAAACCAAACATGTCATTCATGCCCCCTCTTCAGGCCCTTGTACATTTCCCCTAGCACTGGCCTGCAGCCCTCACATAATAAAACTCAGTTAATTTAGTAATCGTGCATAAAATCAATGTCAACAAATTTAGTGCATCGTTTTACATTTCCATAAAGGAGTGGATATGTTGTAAACAGAGTGTAAACACATCATGCACCCGATGCCCAATTAGATGATGCTCTGATGTAGTGTGAAAGTGGTTGTTTACATATCGATGTATTTTTTATGTTGTGCTGACTTGAGGGTCTCAAAGTTGATTTCATTGCGTTGAGTAAAAACATGGTTCTGCATGTATTGGTAAGATAACTCAGAGTAATTCATTTAAATTGGCTGATCAGACATAGATATACTCACATCAGATTTCCAAACCAAGTCAGAAGTTTAGATATCTTCTAGTGTCCTTTCCACCGATTGCAAAATGATTTTCGCGGAAGATTCACATTGAAGCCTCTGCGCATGTGCGACATTTACTTCACACACTATTTATTAAACCATTATTGATTGGCCAAAATGATTTATCAGAACTATATTTTAAAAAATATTTTGATTTCTTTGTGCATAAAGGTATTGATTTTAAATAATCAATGCTATATAATAATTAAGGGTGTGAATAATTTTATTTATTTGAACTTTTTAACATGCCGTTGTTAGGCAGACAAAAATGGTTGTAGCAACAACACTTGTAGCTTCCGGTACTGTCTAACCATCGAAACACTGTTATCTGTGATTTAAACGTAAAACAAAAACAGTGTCAGGTAAGTAACACACTTGTCTGAATTCCTGATATAGGGCACAAAAATAAATAATGTAATGGTCCAGATGTCATGGAAAGGAACTGTGTTATAATAATAAAAAATACAATCAAACGGGCACCTGCCATTGCTATTAGTTATAGCTATCTTGACTACTGTAGTACAGAAGATATATATCTAGTATCATTACATGATTGCAGTTTTGATTTACTCAACACTACAGTGAGGCAGTTGATGCATAATATAATGCATACATACTGTACATATGTAGAAATGCACTGGGTCGACCAGGTAGTGTGGTTGATTATTTTAATCTTTCATCAATAATTAATTAAATTTTACCAACACCTAATATTCACAGTATCCATAATGTAACATATGAGAGGAAAAATGCATGGCAAGACTGGGATTCGAACTGGAGACTTCACAGTTCTGCCTCACAGGTATTGTTATGTAGTGGAACTGGACTGGGCAATCATTGATGACCAGGAAGCTCAATTGGTAGAGTTGATTGTCTAAAGTTTGGGAGTTCTTAGGCTCGAATCCAGTCTGGCCGTTGCATTTCTCTTTTTCTTGTTAAAAAATTGGCGAGATTGCCAACCTTTATTTCAAGCACTGGGTGAATGCTTATAAGTTAAGTATCCAAACCTAAGTTGTAAATATTTGTGTCTCCCGTACGAAGACTTTGGAAAAGTAGGGAGAACTTGACTGGGTCAATCATTGGCGACCAGGTTGCTCAATTGGTAGAGCACCCGTCTAGAGTTTGGGAGGACCAAGGTTGGAATCCTAGTGTACGTGGCTGTTGCATTTCTCTTTCTCCTGTTACAGTTACTTTCATTTACTTAAACATATAAAAAATATGCATAAAAACAAATAGTATTATATATATGCAAACTTTTTTTGTTTTTATCCCCATAGGAATTTCTATATAAATCAACAGGAATGATTTAATCTAACCTAGTTTTAACAGTGTGCATGTATTTGGCTGGGCAGTGTTCTAGGCTGTTGAAACCGACTGGTTTGACTAAATAGTCAGGATGACCGAATGCTAATAATTACTCTTGCAATTGTGCTAATTACAGATAAATATGTTAAACATTCAACTATACCTATGAATTTGGGCCTGATATTTGTATCCATTATGTTTCAGGATGGCGACCCAGGACCTCGGTATGGACATGATCACAAAACGACCACGGACCCCTAGGGATCCATACACCACACTTACTGACATCCAGGTTAAAAATTTGAAAAAGGTACTCTATGTTTATTTTTACATGGTGTTTCAACACTAACCAAAGTCACTCAATGTTGTCTTCAAAGTTTTCGCTTTCCTTGTCTCTCCTTTTATTGTCCTCTTTCATCTCCTTATATTCACGGTTAGATTTATCTCCTTTACCATATCCTTCCTTTATATAATTCTCATCCCTGCTGTTTCTTCTCCTGCTCTCTAGTACCTTCCTGCTCCTTTTGGCAGCTGATCCTCCACCATCTCCTTCTTTGTGGTTTTTGTTCTCATCTGCCTCTTTCTCCTGTTGATGCATATATATCCTCCTCCTCCTTACTTTATCTGCCTCCAGTTTCTCTCTACCCCTGCTCTACTCCTTCAGATCTTACCCTTGCCCCTCCTTGATCTTTCTTATCTTAATCCTGCTCCACTTCCTCTTCCTTTTTCTCCATCTAGCGCTCTACCTCTATTCTTCCCTCTCCTTATTTCTTTCTCCCTCCTTCTCGTGGATTTTTATCCTGATAACATTTTCCTCCACTTTTGTATCCAATTCCTCCTCTTTCTTGTCCTCTAGATCCTACCCCTACCTCTCTTTGTCCTTCTCCTTCTGACGCTACCCAGTGACTCGTAGCCTCTTCCTTCTGTTCTCTTCCTGCTCATCGACCTACTTCACTGTCTCACCTTGACCTTCTCTATTATACTTGATTCATGTTCTCCCTGTGCTGATGCTCCTGCTCTTCCTCTGTGTCATAATCCTTCTTTCGTTGATGTACATATTTTCTTCCTGTGTGTCATGTTCTTGATCATGTATAATGCTGCCTTTTTTCCTTTTTTAGCTGTTTCCTCATCCCCTCCTCTGTCACCTGCTGTTCCTCCTTTGTATATTTCCTCTTTTCTGTAGCTATTTTCCATCCCCTTCTCTGTTACATACCTTCTCTTTTGATGTCTTTTGAATTCAATGATGTATTATTTATGAATGAAGGGTGCATGTGTCCCTTGTGGGCAGAGACTTCTCAAGCTCCTAACTACCTCTTCTAGTTCTCATTCTCCATTCCAGCCTCAATCTGGTCTTTTCCCCTTCTGTACAGTCATGTCCATCTCCATAACCTTCTCTGTTATTGCAGTTCCCCTTGGCTTTTTCTACAGTGTACTGTTCCTTCCTTCTCTTGCTCCTTTCCTCTTTCTTATCTTTCTGGTCTTGTTCCTAAATACATAAAGTAAATTTCTTTTTTCTCCATTTTTAAGTTGATACTCCTCATGTCTTTCTTTTTCTTTTTTGTTTCTCCCTTCTTTTCTCTGTTTCTTGTTTCATTGTAGTTTCCTCATCTAGCTTCTTTCTAACATGCCTCTATCATTCTCCTAGTGGCACACTTCACAACCTCTGTTTCAGAGGTGCATGGTCATTAATACATCTGATATGAAACACATAGGTCTAAGGTAACGAACATTTCCCTGTGTTGTGGTTTGATTGTATATTGCTAAAGCTGTACCTCTTGTGATTCGCTGTATCTGTTTGCTTTCCCCTCCCCCATTTACTGTACCTCTTATTGTGCTTCCTGTAACATTCACCCCTATTTAATTTTCCTTTGCCCTGACTCATCTCCTTTTCTCATTCTTATATACTTTTGTTATAGGACCCCCAGGCATACTTTATGAATAGTCAGGGTGGAAACAAAGCCTACCCAATGACGGGTTGGTACCGTGACCGGTATGCCAAGAACATGAGCCAGCACCTGGTACGGGGCATATCGAAGTCCCAGCCCTACTGTTACGTAGATTATCAGTGGAACAGGAGCCCACCAGAACTCCACAACACAGTCAGGCATGGAGCTGCCGAGCGCTGGGGGCCAGACAAAGTTGGTAAGTAGGAGGACTACTAGGGACAGGGGGGCTGGGGACCAGACAAAGTTGGTAAGTAGGAGGATTACTAGGGACAGGAGGGCTGGGGGCCAGACAAAGTTGGTAAGTAGGAGGACTGCTAGGGAAAGGAGGGCTGGGCCCTGGAAAAAGTTGGTAAGTAGGAGGACTTCTAGGGACAGGAGGGCTGTTGACCAGACCAAGTTGGTAAGTAGGAGGACTGCTAGGGACAGGAGGGCTGGGGACTGGAAAAAGTTGGTAAGTAGGAGGACTTCTAGGGACAGGAGGGCTGGGGACCAGACGAAGTTGGTAAGTAGGAGGACTACTAGGGACAGGAGGGCTGGGTGCCGGGCAAGGTGGTAAGTAGGAGGACTACTAGGGACAGGAGGGCTGTTGACCAGACAAAGTTGGTAAGTAGGAGGACTGCTAGGGACAGGAGGGCTGGGCACTGGAAAAAGTTGGTAAGTAGGAGGACTACTAGGGACAGGAGGGCTGGGGGCCAGACAAAGTTGGTAAGTAGGAGGACTACTAGGGACAGGAGGGCTGGGGGCCAGACAAAGTTGGTAAGTAGGAGGACTACTAGGGACAGGAGGGCGGGGGAACGGACAAAGTCAGTTGAGGAAGAGGTTTTAATACATGATGCAATGTGAACCCAGGCACAAAGTCTTGAAATATAACTGATTCACAATTCATCGCATATTTACAAAAAATGAAGGTAATGTGGACATTTAATTGGAACCGTATACAAGTTGTGAAACATGTTCAATCCACTTATATTAATCACTCTTGTTGGCCTTGATGGTAGCATACAGAGGGTCTTAATGTGGGAGGAAACTGGAGTACCTGGTGGAAACCCACATGGTCGGGCAGGTGGCCATAACCTTTTCACATCCGAATAGGGAATCAAACCCCTGTCATCTTGATGAAATCTTTATTTTTCTTTCAGGTATGAGAACTGTACAGCATTTTAATAACCCTGAAGATAACAACCGATTTGTAAGCACAGAATTATACCGAAGACAGCCAACAAACCAACCAGGCTTCGTAAGCACAACGTATGGGCGGCCTGGGGACGGATATTATCTCCTGAGGAACCCCAGTAAGTAATGGTGGCTAGTCCAGATAGCATGGAAGATATTAGCCATACTTATAGCTTGAAGCTTAAAGGTGATTTGTAATTGGTTTGACCTTTTTTGGCCCCCAAATCCATCGAAATTGATTTTTTTTTATAGAACTTTCAACTGTTTTCAATTATTGCTGCCATGGTAACCAGGTAATATTTGCATAAATTAATGAAATTTGAATATTCAGTCAATTTTGACAGGTTTTTGTGCCTAGTTTTTCTCTTAGAGCTACCATAGAGTGCACTCTTGAACAAACTTTATATTTTTCCTAAAGATGTATTACAGGTGCCTACACATTATCCTTTGATATCAAGTTTGTTCAAGCATGCACTCTATAGTTTCCAGGCGAAAAACTATGCAAAATATGACAATATTCATTGAATATTCAATTTTTTCTAATTTATGCAAATTTGAACTTGTTACCATGACAACAACAACTAGAAATACAACTAAATATCATCATGATAGTATTTGGGCAGTATTAAAAATTAAAGGAACAGTCGTTTGAAAGTTCATTTAAAGGTTTTGAATTTTGATGCATTTAGGGACCAAAACACTCCCAAACCATACATAGTCCTTAATGATATATTTTAATATAGTTTAAAATGATATAAATGATTAACTCAACAAACCGTATTAATTATTTCAGATACAAAAACTTGGTTCGGATCCACTGTGCCCCTGAACCGCACTGGGATCTTAGAGTCAATACACCCCAAGACAACAGCTGAATATAAGTCCATGCGAAAGTCTGACCATGAATCTGTTGCCCAGAGGAAAGGAAGATACCCAGTATATTCAGAATACACAGACAGATTTGGTTTACAGACAAAGATAGAACCGATGATGAGCACGTAAGTTTAATGTACACATTGAGTAATTTATACTGAAAAATGGCAATGTAAATGGAAATACTAACCCATTTTAAGTTTGTTGTGTATCTGGTGCAATTAAAGATTAATGACAATTCTTTTTTAATAACTGTTATTTTCATGTCATGAAAAGAAGTTTAGTCATGCTATGATGTTCCATAATAATGATAAAGCTGTACAATACAGATTTCTCTTCCTTTCCTCTTAATAAATGTGCTAATTAAAATTTAATTCTCAGTTTGTAAAGGGTTCAAATTGCTTCACATACAACGGACTTTAAACAATTTTTCATATTGAATTCTGTCCCCATGGTCTGCCTATTATCATAATACAATAAAGTAACTTAACTTCTATTTTTTTCTTCTTCTCAATTTTGGACATGTTTGGATTTCAATCAACTATATTTTTTAATAACGTACAACTGAATATTATCAACTAATATCTAGTTTATTTTTTAAAACAACTTATTTGTGATTTTATCACACAGGACGGTATATTTGTGTTAAAAGGTATTTTCCGAAATGATGCAAAGTATTCAAAATAGTCAGCATGCAGAGAATAGTTTTGAAATAAAAAAAACCACTTGTGATACATTAACTCATTCATCCCTGAAGTTTTATAATGAACTATTCCAACCTTTGAATTGGAAGAGTTCAAATGTGTCTTCAGGGTTGAATGAGTTATAATGCAACATACAGCTAGGTCCTAGTTACACAGTATTTCAGCGAATAATAAAATTATTCTACAAGGAAAAACGTACCATTAAACACATGTAAAACTTAAGCTAAACTGGGTGGGTGAACAATTAAATACTGACTTCATGTTCCTGTATAAATTGTAATAAAATCATAATGAAACAACTGTAAAAAATAATTTAAAAAATAATTTTAACGTGTAGGAATTTATTCTTGTTGCTCCTATCCTAGTATCATACCTGATCCTGTACTAACATGTGCCTTTTCCTCCTTCCTGCCTCATACAGAACCTCCAGCAGTTGTTTCTAGTAGGTACTTCACAGTGTAGAGTGTTTCAGTAATGTATGAGCACAAACACCACTGTATCTTGTGTGGCTAGGTACACCACTGTGTATTGTGTGGCTAGGTACCCCACTGTATATTGTGTGGCTAGGTACACCACTGCGTATTGTGTGGCTAGGTACACCACTGTGTATTGTGCGGCTAGGTACACCACAGTATATTGTGTGGCTGGGGACACCACTGTATATTGTGTGGCTAGGTACACCACTGAGTATTGTGTGGCTAGGTACACCACAGTGTATTGTGTGGCTATGTACACCACTGTGTATTGTGTGGCTAGGTACACCAATGTGTATTGTGTGGCTAGGGACACCACTGTGTATTGTGTGGCTAGGTACACCAGTGTGTATTGTGTGGCTAGGTACACCACTGTGCATTGTGTGGCTAGGTACACCACTGTGAATTGTGTGGCTAGGTACATCACAGTATAAAATGTGACCATGTACGTACATCACTGTATATTGTGTGGCTAGCTACACCACTGTGTATTGTGTCGCTAGGTACACCACTGTGTATTGTGTGGCTAGGTTCACCACAGTATATTGTGTGGCTGGGTACACCACTGTATATTGTGTGGCTAGGTACATCACTGTATATTGTTTGGCTAGCTACACCACTGTGTATTGTGTGGCTAGGTACACCCCTGTGTATTGTGTGGCTAGGTACACCACTGTGTCTTGTGTGGCTAGGTATACCACTGTGTATTGTGTGGCTAGGAACACCACTGTGTCTTGTGTGGCTAGGTACACCACTGTGTATTGTGTGACTAGGTACACCACTGTACATTGTGTGGCTAGGTATACCACTGTGTATTGTGTGGCTAGGAACACCACTGTGTCTTGTGTGGCTAGGTACACCACTGTGTATTGTGTGGTTAGGTACACCACTGTGTATTGTGTGGCTAGGTACACCCCTGTGTATTTTGTGGCTAGGTACACCACTGTGTATTGTGTGGCTAGGAACACCACTGTGTCTTGTGTGGCTAGGTACACCACTGTGTATTGTGTGGCTTGGTATACCACTGTGTATTGTGTGGCTAGGTACACCACAGTATATTGTGTGGCTGGGTACACCACTGTATATTGTGTGGCTAGGTACATCACTGTATATTGTTTGGCTAGCTACACCACTGTGTATTGTGTGGCTAGGTACACCAGTGTGTATTGTGTGGCTAGGTACACCACTGTGCATTGTGTGGCTAGGTACACCACTGTGAATTGTGTGGCTAGGTACATCACAGTATAAAATGTGACCATGTACGTACATCACTGTATATTGTGTGGCTAGCTACACCACTGTGTATTGTGTCGCTAGGTACACCACTGTGTATTGTGTGGCTAGGCACACCACAGTATATTGTGTGGCTGGGTACACCACTGTATATTGTGTGGCTAGGTACATCACTGTATATTGTTTGGCTAGCTACACCACTGTGTATTGTGTGGCTAGGTACACCAGTGTGTATTGTGTGGCTAGGTACACCACTGTGCATTGTGTGGCTAGGTACACCACTGTATATTGTGCGGCTAGGTACACCACTGTGTATTGTGTGGCTAGTTACACCACTGTGTATTGTGTGGCTAGGTACAACACTGTGTATTGTGTGGCTAGGTACACCACTGTTTATTGGGTGGCTAGGTACACCACTGTGTATTTTGTGGCTAGGTACACCACTGTGTATTTTGTGGCTAGGGACACCACTGTGTATTGTGTGGCTAGGTACACCAGTGTGTATTGTGTGGCTAGGTACACCACTGTGCATTGTGTGGCTAGGTACACCACTGTGAATTGTGTGGCTAGGTACATCACAGTATAAAATGTGACCATGTACGTACATCACTGTATATTGTGTGGCTAGCTACACCACTGTGTATTGTGTGGCTAGGTACACCACTGTGTATTGTGTGACTAGGTACACCACTGTATATTGTGTGGCTAGGTATACCACTGTGTATTGTGTGGCTAGGGATACCACTGTGTATTGTTTGGCTCGTTACACCACTGTATATTGAGTGGCTAGGTATACCACTGTGTATTGTGTGACTTGGTACACCACTGTATATGGTGTGGCTAGGTGCACCACTGTGTATTGTGCGGCTAGGTACACCACTGTAAATTGTGTGGCTAGGTAAACCACTGTGTATTGTTTGGCTCGTTACACCACTGTATATTGAGTGGCTAGGTATACCACTGTGTATTGTGTGGATAGGTACACCACTGTGTTTAGTGTGACCTGGTACATCACCGTATAAAATGTGACCAGGTACAACACAGTATAAAATGTGACCATGTACACCACTGTGTATTATGTGGCTAGGTACACCAATGTGTATTGTGTGGCTAGGTACACCACTGTATATTGTGTGGCTAGGTACACCACTGTGAATTGTGTGGCTAGGTACATCACAGTATAAAATGTGACCATGTACACCACTGTGTATAGTGTGACAAGATGTAGAACTGTGTAAAGTGTGACCATGTACGCCACTGTGTAAAGTGTGACACGATGTATCATTGTGTGTAGTGTGACAAGAAACTCCATTGTGTGTAGAGTGACCAGGTACACCACTGTGTATAGTGTGACCAGGTACATCACTGTGTGTAATGTGACAAGATATTCCATTGTGTGTAGTGTGACCAGGTACACCACTGTGTGTAGTGTGACCAGGTATATCACTGTGTATAGTGTCTCCAGATACTCCATTGTGTGTAGTGTGACCAGGTACACCACTGTGTTTAGTGTGACCTGGTACATCACCGTATAAAATGTGACCAGGTACAACACAGTATAAAATGTGACGAGGTACATCACTCTGTATAGTGTGACAAGGTACCAAGACTGTATCATTGTTACCATGACTGTATCATTGTTACCATGACTGTATCATTGTTACCATGACTATCATTATTACCATGACTGTATCATTGTTACCATGACTGTATCAATGTTACCATGACTGTATCATTGTTACCATGGCTGTATCATTGTTACCATGACTGTACCATTGTTACCATGACTATCATTGTTACCATGACTGTGTCATTGTTACCATGACTATCATTGTTACCATGACTGTATCATTGTTACCATGACTGTATCATTGTTATCATGGCCGTGTTGTTACCTTGACGATATTGTTGTAAACGTTATGGTATCGTTACCTTTATGATATCATTGATACATTGAGGATATTATTGTTATCATGAAGGTGCTGTTGTTTGTGTGACTGTCTTGGTGTTACCTTGAGGGAATTGTTATGACCTTTATTGTTGTTACGATTTAACCAATAAAGTTGTTATCTTCAGGATATTGTTACTACTTTGAGGGTAGCATTGTTTCCTTGAGGGTATCATTGTTTCCTTGAGGGTATTATTGTTTCCTTGAGGGTATCATTGTTTCCTTGAGGGTATCATTGTTTCCTTGAGAGAATCAGTGTTTCCTTGAGGGTATCATTGTTTCCTTGAGGGTATCATTGTTTCCTTGAGGGTATCATTGTTTCCTTGAGGGTATCATTAATTCCTTCAGGGTATCACTGTTTCCTTGATGGAATCAGTGTTTCCTTGAGGGTATCAGTGTTTCTTTGAGGGTATCAGTGTTTCCTTGACGGTATCATTGTTTCCTTCAGGGTATCGTTCGTACCTTTAAGGCATCAATGTTACGATTTCGCCAATATAGTTGTTGTCCTAAGGGTATCGTTGTTAACTTGACGGTATCGTCAATATATTGAGTGCATTGTTGTAACAATTTGACCAATAGGGTTGTTATCTTTAGGGTATTGTTGTTACATTGATATTATCTTTGTTACCTTGAGGGTATCGTTAATGCTTTGAGGGCATCGTTGTCACTATTTGACTAATAGGATTGTTATCTTAAGGATATTGTTGTTACATCGATATTGTCTTTGTTACATCGATATTATCTTTGTTACGTTGAGGGTATCGTTAATGCATTGATGGCATCGTTGTTACTATTTGACCAATATGGTTGTTACATTGAGATTATCTTTGTTACATCGAGGATGTTGTTATTGCTTTGCGATTATTGCCGTTGCCTTGAGAATACCGTTGTTACCCGAGGGAGTCTTTGTTGTCATGCCGGTGTTGTTATCATCATGAGCGTATCGTTACTCTGAGTATATTGTAGTTACAATTCGACCAAAACGACTGTCACCCCTAGGGTATCGTTGTTACCCCGAGGGTGTCTTTGTTGCCATGACGGCATTGTTGTTATCGTGAGGGTATAGTTGTTACTTTGAGTTAATTTTAGTTACAATTCGACCAATACGACTGTCATCTCTAGGGAATAAGGTTAAATTTGCAAAACATTAACATGTAAACGATTTTTTAATTACAATATTGTTAACTGTGTATGTTTATAATCTTAATAGTTGTTATTTTTGTTGTTGTTGTTGTTGTTTCTGGTGTTGTTGTTTTTGTTTTTGTTGTTTTTGTTGTTGTTTCTGGTGTTGTTGATGATGAGGATGATAATGGATGATGACGATTTGGGTTTTTTTTCTGTTCATTTTCTGTAAGATTTGTTCATTATTTGAAATTTTGTTTTGCAGGCGACAAAGGATGAAGACTTACATAGAAGACACTGCATAAGACAAAACCATACATTTGTATTGGCATGTTACACTGTGATATTACTTGATGTGCAATGGATGCCAGTACTAATCAATCAACGGACAGATAGTATTCACTGTATAGTTTCACTGTTAAGGATTTTACCAATTGGATTCAACGGGATATCCAGGAGTCCTATTTGAAATGCAGTGTTTGACCAATGGGATTTGTGAATGGAACTTTCTATATGAATATAACAGCACTCATGAGGGACTTACGTGGTTAAGATTTCCATCGTTTTACATGTATTTATATACAACGAGGTGACGTACAATCTTGAAATGATACTGTATTTTCATTAGTGACGTTTGGTTGAAGTAGTTCTCTAACCAAAATATCTGCGGTCATATTATTCCCATCTTTGCGTTATTTAAATATTGACAAATACTGACAAATGTAAAAGAGATTAGACCAAAGCGTTTTAGCTAAAATAAAGTAAATGTGGGTTATAGAGTTGTTAAATGAAGTTTGACACATACACGTAAGTGTCTCACTAACTACGACACAAGAATACGTAGACAAACACATATTTCTGAATATGCTACTTAAAGATATGTTTATAACTGACAGATTGCTCGACCCTGACCCATGGACCGGATTAATGAACTATTGTTGGTTAAAGTTAAACACTAAAGGACACATGGGTACCAGGATGTCAACTATTTTGTTATATTTACACTATTGGACATATGGACATATACAGGACTGGATATGCAAGCATCATATGAAGTGCCAAATGGTGAAGTGTCGTATGTTTCCAACGTTTCCTGTATGAATGGATACTATATATATATCTGTATGTATTTTTGTAATTTACGTTGTACACAAGGATACCTCATAGATGTATCTGTCTCATCCTTTCTTAATAATCTCTCTAATAGATTTTTTTATAAATATATTTAACATTTGTCACTCTGTGTGTATTCCAGAGCCAAAGTTATGATCATGTGTTACAAGGTTAAGATTTACAAAGAACTCTTTAATCTATAACAATGATGAACAAAGAAATAAAATTAAAAAAATCAATATGTTTTATCCGTACACATGCACAGCGTTAAACTACTTTCGGAATTTCTTATTACAATTTACACATGACTGTGGGTGTGATGCGATGCAGCCCCAGCGACTTTGTTAACCATTAAATCTATCAAGTCAAACTTATTCAGGATTAGTCTAACAGCATTAAATACAGCAAGATAACCAATACTACTGCATGCTGAAAATGTTTTTTTATCAAACTTCCAGCTAGGCACGTTAGAGTATTAGACTTACATTGTAGTACACTTTAGTTCTTATCTGTAGTAATCCTAAAACTGTTAACACTATCAGTAAGCAGGTCACAGCATTTACACGGTGCTTATACTAAAATCAAATACTTGCCTTTCTATTTTGCAGCATCACCAAATACAATGTAGATTACTGAATTAACAGCGTAGTATCATTAGTAGAAGTAATGCACTAGACGGTCAGCTAAACCTATGCAGGGGAAATAGATAGCCCGCGTTTCCTCTGGCCCTAACACCAGACTGTCCATGTCTGGTCTCAGGGCCAGATAGGCTGATAAAAATAGACTGCTCCTACAAAAAATGTGATAAGTTGCACCCTGATATAGCTTCCTGCATTGATTAAGACCTGATAGCATTAACCAAGCGGAAGGTTCTGGTTAGAATTAGATTTATTTATTTGACAGAACACTATTGCATAACAAAAATACCGGTATTTTTAATATGTATGTCATACAATTAATACGAGCTTTAATATGAATCTGTTTTGTAGTGAGATATTTGTCTATACAGAAGGCTTAGTTACATTTCGTAGAGCAATCTTGCCTTCTTTATAGCTTTTGTATTTGTAGTATTTTATTTTATTTTGCGCACATTGTGCTAACCGTTCAAAGATTTGTGAATTACGTTTAAATCAATTAAATTTTAAATGCTATTTGAGTAGTCATTATTATCTTTTTGATAACAATTTATGTTGACATGAAATGCTTTGGAGTTGGTATATTCTATTTTTTTTACACATTAATTTGATTAAACCTATGCGTAGTGTCACATTTTCATGAGATCGGGAAAAAATCTTCTTGCTGGATGTTCAGTGTACTATGAAATGATAGCAGTTATGTAAATCTAAATCACCTTACATGTCGAAAGTTTACGGTATTTGAGTTCTTTCCGAGATTACATCACCCCTATCAAAAGCAGGACTTTTAAAATCATGCGTAAACTATAAATTTGCTATAGCATTTTGATATTTGCTAAATGTGTCACATAATAAATTATGTTGAATGTATTATGTGGAAATGTTGCTATCAAATTTTCAAACGAAATATATGGTTTATCATTACGTTTAAGTCCGAACATTTTGTAACCATGTTTAAAAAGTGAGGATGTATTTATCAAAAAGTTGCATATGCATGACAAATGATCTTAACCAATAAAATGTTGTTACATCAGTAGATAAGCCTTTGGTTGTATTGATAACTTCTAGTGCCCTGTCAGAAAAACAGGATGTCTGAATGATAATAACTTCTAATGCCCTGTCAGAAAAACAGGATGTCCGAATGATAATAACTTCTAGTGCCCTGTCAGAAAAACAGGATGTCCGAATGATAATAGCTTCTAGTGCCCTGTCAGAAAAACAGGATGTCTGAATGATAATAGCTTCTAGTGCCCTGTCAGAAAAACAGGATGTCCGAATGATAATAGCTTCTAGTGCCCTGTCAGAAAAACATGATGTCNACAGGATGTCCGAATGATAATAGTTTCTAGTGCCCTGTCTGAAAAACAGGATGTCCGAATGATAATAGTTTCTAGTGCCCTGTCTGAAAAACAGGATGTCCGAATGATAATAGCTTCTAGTGCCCTGTCAGAAAAACAGCATGTCTGAATGATAATAGCTTCTAGTGCCCTGTCAGAAAAACATGATAATTGTTTTGGTCGATAACTTTGTTGTTGAATTTGATGGAACTGTACCACCTGACTGTTGGTAAGTCAATGACATGATTGTATACCACTTACAGCCGACCTCTGTTTATGAAGTTGAATGTATGCAATAGATGACAAAGGACATAATACATCTTCTCAATCAAATGTATTTTGACGCAAACTTTCCTTACCTCAGTAGTTATATAAACTTCAGTCATCATTGTAGATATGTAGTTGTTATACAGAGGCTTGTATTGTTATAAACATTACATTACGTTTTGTTTGCTACCTTCAGTGAAGTAACTATTTATAACAGCAACTAAATGGAATGTTTTATGACCATACGATTATTTATGGAGAGCTTGTTAAACAGTAAGATACTAAATACATAGTTATAGTTTGATATTCTGAAGGAGGTGTTGACTCATACTCCAGGGGTTACGCCCACTGACACTTGAAGAGCAGGTAGACCCTTGGATAGCGAAGATGGTGTTGACTACCAGTGACGGTATTGTCAATCTGATAAAATAGGACTGATAATGCATTACAATCGACAACAAATAAAAAAGTAAATAAATCACTAGAAATTCAAAAAAATGAAGCACCTGTCTGAAATTCCCCAATGAGGACCCGATAGGCCAGTTTTGGGAACCTGACAGTACTGGTTTGTTGACTACAATGGTTTTCTGCCTCACAGTAGCACGGTAGTCTAGTGGTAGGATGCCAGGTTTCGAAGGACCGAAGGGTTGCGGGTTCGAGTCACGGCAGGGCACTGTGTTGTATCTTTGAGCAAGATACTTTACTTCGCTTGTTTCAGTCTAATCAGCTGTAAATGAGTACGTGGTTGGGCAGTGCTAGAACTGTTGAAAACTAGATGTGAGAGCCGAAATAGCAGCACCGGCTGTATGCTCCACAACCAGCGTGAAGTTGGTTACTTATTCAATATTGGGCTAGCCCAATATTGGACTGGACCAATGTTGGGCTGGCGCAATATTGGGCTAGTTTGATAATCAAATGTACCTAACATAATAGTTCTTATGCCGCTTTTTCACACCTATACCACAACTTGGCATCTTCTAAGGTATCTACATGCAAAACGGCATCAACGAAACCCCAGGCTAAAGATGCCCATTGGGCATCATTTTGAATTTCAGTACATAATCGATCATTTTTCGTTTTCAACAGGCCACGGCATATTGTTATAGGTCTTATGCCGCTTTTTCACACCTATACCACAACTGGGCATCTTCCAAGGTATCCACATGCAAAACGGCATCAACGATACCCCAGGCTAAAGAAGCCCACTGGGCATCATTTCGAATTTCAGTATTTAATCGTTACTGTTTAGTTTTCAACAGGCCACGACATATTGTTATAGGTCTTATGCCGCTTTTTCACACCTATACCACAACTGGGCATCTTCTAAGGTATCCACATGCAAAACGGCATCAACGATACCCCAGGCTAAAGATGCCCACTGGGCATCATTTCGAATTTCAGTACATAATCGTTAATTTTTCGTTTTCAACAGGCCACGGCATATTGTTATAGGTCTTATGCCGCTTTTTCACACCTATACCACAACTGGGCATCTTCTAAGGTATCCACATGCAAAACGGCATCAACGATACCCCAGGCTAAAGATGCCCACTGGGCATCATTTCGAATTTCAGTACATAATCGTTAATTTTTCGTTTTCAACAGGCCACGGCATATTGTTATAGGTCTTATGCCGCTTTTTCACACCTATACCACAACTGGGCATCTTCTAAGGTATCCACATGCAAAACGGCATCAACGATACCCCAGGCTAAAGATGCCCACTGGGCATCATTTCGAATTTCAGTACATAATCGTTAATTTTTCGTTTTCAACAGGCCACGGCATATTGTTATAGGTCTTATGCCGCTTTTTCACACCTATACCACAACTGGGCATCTTCTAAGGTATCCACATGCAAAACGGCATCAACGATACCCCAGGCTAAAGATGCCCACTGGGCATCATTTCGAATTTCAGTACATAATCGTTAATTTTTCGTTTTCAACAGGCCACGGCATATTGTTATAGGTCTTATGCCGCTTTTTCACACCTATACCACAACTGGGCATCTTCTAAGGTATCCACATGCAAAACGGCATCAACGATACCCCAGGCTAAAGATGCCCACTGGGCATCATTTCGAATTTCAGTACATAATCGTTAATTTTTCGTTTTCAACAGGCCACGGCATATTGTTATAGGTCTTATGCCGCTTTTTCACACCTATACCACAACTGGGCATCTTCTAAGGTATCCACATGCAAAACGGCATCAACGATACCCCAGGCTAAAGATGCCCACTGGGCATCATTTCGAATTTCAGTACATAATCGTTAATTTTTCGTTTTCAACAGGCCACGGCATATTGTTATAGGTCTTATGCCGCTTTTTCACACCTATACCACAACTGGGCATCTTCTAAGGTATCCACATGCAAAACGGCATCAACGATACCCCAGGCTAAAGATGCCCACTGGGCATCATTTCGAATTTCAGTACATAATCGTTAATTTTTCGTTTTCAACAGGCCACGGCATATTGTTATAGGTCTTATGCCGCTTTTTCACACCTATACCACAACTGGGCATCTTCTAAGGTATCCACATGCAAAACGGCATCAACGATACCCCAGGCTAAAGATGCCCACTGGGCATCATTTCGAATTTCAGTACATAATCGTTAATTTTTCGTTTTCAACAGGCCACGGCATATTGTTATAGGTCTTATGCCGCTTTTTCACACCTATACCACAACTGGGCATCTTCTAAGGTATCCACATGCAAAACGGCATCAACGATACCCCAGGCTAAAGATGCCCACTGGGCATCATTTCGAATTTCAGTACATAATCGTTAATTTTTCGTTTTCAACAGGCCACGGCATATTGTTATAGGTCTTATGCCGCTTTTTCACACCTATACCACAACTGGGCATCTTCTAAGGTATCCACATGCAAAACGGCATCAACGATACCCCAGGCTAAAGATGCCCACTGGGCATCATTTCGAATTTCAGTACATAATCGTTAATTTTTCGTTTTCAACAGGCCACGGCATATTGTTATAGGTCTTATGCCGCTTTTTCACACCTATACCACAAATGGACATCTTCAAAGGTATCCACATGCAAAACGGCATCAACGATACCCCAGGCTAAAGATGCCCACTGGGCATCATTTCGAATTTCAGTACATAATCGTTAATATTTCGTTTTGAACAGGCCACGGCATATTGTTATAGGTCCTATGCCGCTATTTCATACCTATACCACAACTAGGCATCTTCTAAGGTATCCACATACAAAAGGGCATCAACGATTCCCTAGTCTAAAGATGCTCACTGGGCACTTTTCCAAATTTTAGCCTAGTCGCATTAAGCTTTTGTTTTGAACCTGCAAGAGCACATTTTTACAGGTCTTATGCCGCTTAATCAGACCTATATAGTTACAGGGCATCGTCTAATGTATTGACATTCATATTCAAACGGGCAACAACGATATCCAATGCTAAAGATGCATTTTTCGAATTGATGTCTAATTTTTTTCAATGAGGAAGGGCGCATCGTTAAACCTCTTATGCCACTTTTTAAGAAATATTATATAATATTTTACATTATGAGAAAGTGTTTCCTGGAAAATTGTGATATTCTCTTTTACTGTTAAAATCCAAGATGACTGTTTGTCAGCCATCTTGTTCTTTTTATCAATTATGAAATAAAATATATCCCCCTTATTAGTATTGGGTATTACCAAAATTTTGATATGTCTCTATTCACTGCAGTATATATATTGTAGACTTTTAAGAACTATTCATAAGCCTGATGACACGATGTATTCAGTTTCAGACTTTGTCTAAAAGTTTGTTTTCATAGTACATGTAACTTAATCCCTGAATGCAGTTTCATGCAAGCATATATTACAATTAGGTTATGAACTATTTAAAATCATAATGCAGTATAAAATATCAAAATCTGAATTGAAAGAAACAATTAAAACCAAAACGATTTACTATTCTTGCATTTTTTGTCTTTATCTCCCCTAGGTTGTCAACTCGGATACAGTTGTAGCCAACTCTCGCGAGAATACGCAAAACGATAATGAAAATAGGTGTTGCATGGCGGCCCACGACCGATTAAATATTTTAAGCATAAATTGATTAATTGGCATAAAATACACATTAAAACAATGTTATTCCTCAAAAAGGACCAATTTGTGCATGCAGCGCCCCATACATTGATTTTCAGGATGTCCAGGACCTTTCATGCATTATATTTCGAAATACACAAAACGAAATAAAATTCTCCTTCCGTAGTTAAATGGCACTTTCAATACCCTTTCCGATGGTACATAACAATTACCCATGTGTCATGTCATTTTCTTGCAAATTACATTTTTATTCGTTATTTGTCATAAAATTTTAACATTTTGGTTTTTACATTTTTCATTTAAGTGACAGGACTAGCATGATACAGGTCGGGTTCCATCACATT